GCTCGAGCGAAAGTCTGGCTCCCTTCAGCAGCTCATTTGCAGCACATAGTGTACGCAGGAACCTCGTGTCATGCCATCTTCAAGGCCTTCAATTGCAGAAAAACTTAATAACATTTAGTGGCAATTTAATATGGAGAAGCAGACGCAGCCAAGGATAAACTCTTGTCTCTTTCGATGTCTATGTATATATGTATGTGTATATAGAATCCAAAATATTCAGTTTCTAATCGATATCCACATGCCTTTTTACAACTTTATTTTTAATCTAAGTTTATTCCTTCCACTTATCTGTTGTCTATATATCTAACTAACTGTCTACATCTATATCTATATATATATATATATATCTATATCTGTCTAGATAGATATCTATACCTATCCATTCAGCTAGCCCTCTCACTCTGTATCTATACTATCTCTGTATCTCTCCCTGTGTCTCTCTCTACCTCTTTCTCTCTCTCTCTTAATTTATCTCTCTAACTCTATTTCTCTGTATCTCCTCATCCTTACCCTTGCTGACTCTCTCTCTCTCTCTGTCAATATAAATTTATATCTATCTATTTAAACATCTAACTTTCTTTCCCTCTCTTTCTTTTCTTTTCAGTCTTTCTTCTTCTTCTATTAACATATCCATATACTACATATTTATGTCTTATTTTTAGACTATTTATCTTCTTTTGTCTCTTTCTTTCGCTTCTGCCCTTCTCTTTAACTCTTTCTTTCAGTCCTCTCTCCCTATCCCTCTCCCTCTCTCTCTCTCTATCTCTTTCTCTCCCTTTCTATCTATCTCTATGCCTTCCCTTCTCTCACATTTCATCAGCAGTGTCTCCTCTCCCATTCCCTCTCACAATTCTCACACATTTAATTCCCGTTAAATTAGTTAATATACAATATATTTTGAAATGCTGCCGCTCCCACTCTCACTCTATATAATTTATGTTTTATGTTTTATGTTTTTCTTTCTGTTTAACAATTTGTAAGGTGCCCACTTGAATGCATTTCCAATTGGCGTTGCCAACTGGCGCCAGGTGCTTTAATAGGTGTCATGCCAACAGTTATCCGCTTTTATTTGCTTTTCATTCTTTTGCTGTTGTTTTTTTTTTCCTGTTTTCGCTGTCTTTTCTTTAATTATGAATACACAGCCCGACACACACACACACACGCACACTTGTTACGCCCATTGGCCCATCAAATTGTCTGCAAGGTAACAGAGTATTAAGAATTTCAACGGCAGCAGTCAACACAGCAGTTTTTTGACCAGCCTGAAGAGCGTGTGCGGGGGCGGGGTGGGGCTCCATGGCAACGCAAGCCGCTTAACGCAACCAACTGCCAAATGTAAATATACTCCAACCCCAAGTAAAGACCAGCCAGCACGGAGTATAAAAAAAATACTTATACTATATAAAACTTTCTTAATAATAAAAAAAAAATGTGAAAAAAAGTTCATTCGAGGCGCAGCAGAGCCGCAAGCGGAATGCGCATTGTTTTCAGCTTTTCGGCAGCAAAAACAACAACAACAAGTGGGGAAATTCAGAACGGAACTGGGCAACTGGGAGGAGGAGACGACGCGGCACGGCTTGAGGAACTTAAAAACTTTGGCCATATCCCGCAGCTATGAACAACAGCAATCAATTTTCACATGCCGGCGAACAAATGTGCCGCAACGGGCGGGCCATCGGGCTGCTGGGCGCGCTGGTGTGACTGCGCCTCTGACTGCTGCTCTCTGGCCACTGGGTATTTTTTAAAATTATAATGCGGCAGCGTGTGCGCGTGTGAAAGTGCCGTCATGGCCATCATCAAACTGGGCAAACACTGGCCACCGACCAGTCCCGGCATACATACATATTTGCCAAGCGCTTCACATTACGTCCAGTTCCATCAAATCTGTGTGTGCCACGCCCACACGCCATCAACGCCATCAACGCCTCCATCGTGAGCGCGTCGCTGATTAATTTCTCGTTTTTGCGCCATTTTCTATTTGTCTTGGTCTTGGTAATTACAACAAGTTCCCTCGCACAAGATAAACAGAGCATCAGAAGTAGAGGCAGCAACAGCAGCAGCAGCAGCAGCAGCAGCAGCAGCAGCAGCATCTGCCACGGCAGCAGCTGGCTGCCTGGCGAGAACTGATTCGCAGCTGGGTGAATGCTTCCGGTAATTGAATCAAATGAAGCAGCATTAGTAAGTATTAGCTTCTTATGCAGCCAGCCGACGCTACACATTGCATAACTCTGTTTGTTTTTTCTAAATTAATTTTTAATTTAATATACGTGTTCGGAGGGCGGCCCTCGACTCGAGCTAGTTTACCAGCAGCGGACACAAAGGCAACACGGTGAAGGAATTGACTATATATATAACAAAAAAAAAAAAAAAAAAAAATTAATATTGCTATAGGGCATGCTTGACTCATAGATGCTCTGTAATTATTTTAAAAAAGGTGAGAAATATCGATTTTATATAGAAAAACAATCTTAAGACTTATAGCAAAAGAAGTCAACTATTTAGCTATTTGTGTAGGGTATATGTAGAGTATATGCCTTTGAGCATAAGCTTTCTCTAAATATTTGCAGTACAAAAATCTCAGCTTATAATTATAGAATTGAATTATATATATAATAATTTATATAGAGAAGAGACTAAAAAAGTCTTAAAGTCTTAAGCAAAAACTTGACTAGAAGGCAACTATAAAGCTATGTATGTAGGGTATCTGCTGTTGAGCATAAGAAATTACTGAGCATTTTCAGTTGAACTTGCTTAGATAAAAGCCTATTAGAATATTATGCAAGTCTTCTATACTTTTATACGCCAGAGAGCAAATGCTGCACTTGCTTCTAACTCATTTTCTATTTACAGGGTATTCAAAACATAGCAAAAAAATATTTCTAGACAAATGCTTGCTTAAGTAAAGTTAACTTAGCTCTAAGTAAACTTAAACATTTATTTTTTATTATAATTGTTTAACGGACTTCATTAAAACAATCAAGCAAAAACTTTGCTCAAAAACTTTTTTATGCCTCAACAAATATATATACGTATATATATATATAAATATAAATATATATATATCTAAAAGCAAAGTTTTTAAAATGTAAATTGTGCAGCTGCATAGTCCTTACACTTAAGTAGATATAAAATAAAATATTATTTCGACTTAAGCCTAATTTGAAAATCTGAAAAATGTAAGAAAACACAAAAAAAAAAAAAATTTTAAAGATATCCATTTAGCTATTATTACGTCCAATAAACCTTATGACAATATAATACCCTAATGCTGCGACTTAAAAGTAGATGAAGTACATAAATAGACGACGAATTCGGAAAGGGCAGGGGCGAGCGGGGGCGTGTCAGGCAATTTCAGTTGGTCAGCAGATTTTCGCTGGTTCGCGAAGCCCAAAAAGGAAAAACGAAAATAAAAGTAAAGCAACAAAGCACAAAGCGCAACGGGCTGCCGAGGACATAGAGAGAAGGAATACGTTTTCCAAGATAAACGGAAACAAGCCAAGATGGAATTAATTTTCCGCTTTGAACAAACAAGCGGATGTAAATAAAAAGCGAACCAGCGAACGTTTTCTGCGTCAAAGTGAAAGCGAGGGGCGCAGGAAGCGCACCCAAAGGAGACCAAAGTAGACGGGCAGCCGCAATGGCTTAGACATACCTTCTCGCCCACTGCCAGCCGACGTCCCCCCTCCCCTCCCACAGCTACTGCTGGTGTTATTGTTTTTGTGAAGCTGTTTAGGCGCGCGCGTCTGCCAAGTTTTGGTCCGCGACGAGAGGCTGGCCCAAGTTATGTGCTGTTAATGACTGTACAAGAAGTTTAATTGTATGCCCAGCCTTAAGCCGAGCAAGTAGAAAGATGGGGCGATACAGATAGAGAGGTTGGAGAAGGCGTGCGGCGTGAGTGTGGGGGAAATAGTGTTCACACACACAGAGATGCCTATTGACAAATTGCAATTTAAATAGACAGCAATAAGTTAAACAGACGCACATGGACACAGGGAGCAATTGGGGGAATATATGAGACAGGCATAAAGCACGCAACGTCTAATTAGTTTAGCTGCTCAGGCGATAGACGAAGCTCCAGCGCTCCTAGAGATGGACCATAGTTGAACTATCGATTGCGCATTTGGCTGAAGCGCGATTAAAGAGAGGACTATGCTTAGGTATGAATTAGGTATTCGAAAACAGTATAAGAGCTTGGCAGTTTGACAGTATAAGAGTTTGGTATAAGAAGTTCATTACATATATAGAAATACACACGAGGTATGTTTAGCAACTGTCGCTAATATGTACACTATATAACTTTAAAATCTTGAGAGATAGAGAGAGATAGATAAAGGAAGAGGGAGAAAGATAGAGTGAGTGAGGAGCGAAACAAAGGGAAGCGAAACTTCTGAAATAATCATGAAAGAGCTGCTGTGGCAAATAATTAAATATATGTATATAAAATTAAATAAAATATATATATTATATTTATATTCAATTATATTTATAATTTCTATTCATTTTCCCATATTTGTATATGCTCTTCAAGCCACCGTTGTTTGTTTTAATAATTTATTTAATAATAAAACATTTGTGATTCTCCAATTTCATTTTAACACCCCTTCGGCATTTCTTCAGGTTGCCCTTGGCTCTGCCCCAGCTCAGGCTACGATAGTTTTAAAGTGTCATCTCTAGCTGGTAAATGCATTAGGACATTATTTTTGTGGCTAACTTACTTACACATATCTAATATTATATTATATTATATTCTCCTATTCTACTCGATGCCAACACACTGAATAGTTAGCATCGCTTCTCATGTTGTTTGTGCACCAAATATTGATGAAACATTTACGCACATACGCACACAATTAAACACGTTTGCTCACGCAGCCCACACACACAGGCAGACAGACAGTCAGTCAGCATACATACATATGTATAAGTAGTAATTGATGGGTTTCCTTTTATAACAACATCAATCATACGCACTGTGTTGCCCAGGTCAAATAATACATTTGTACGATTGTATATGCATAAGTATGCGCGTGTGTGTATATATTGCATTTGGAATGTATTTATTTGGCAAAGCATCTTCGCACTATATCAAATATACATATATATATATCAAAATATAACCATATACATATATGTGCTTATGAATGTGTGTTAAGCTACTATCTAATCCAATCACGCCTAGACATTGCTGTTGTTACTCTTGCTTGATTGTCGTCGCTGTTGTTGTTAGTGTTGCTGTTGTGGTCGGACTCTGTCGCTTTATGTAGCACAGAATGTTTACCCAAATCATGCCGCATATGCCCATATAGATAATGCGAAATCGTGGCGCTATAAACATAAAATTCAAAGCCTGTGCCGGCAGCCAGAAGATGCAGGATCGTAAAAACGTAGGCACAAATTTCTCGCGCAGCTCCTCAAAAGGATGCTCGGCGCCCTCCATCAGAGACATGCCTAGAATAACAGAAGAAAACGAACATATTAACAAATAGTTTTCATATAGTTTTAAAGGCTAATTCTTACCCGTAAAAAACAACGTCAGACAATAGGGCGTCAATACAAACTGATCCAGTACCAATTTTTTCAAAATAGTAGTCTTCAGTGTACCAGGAAAAGTGCCATCCAGCCATTTGTACCTAAGATATATATATATATATAAAACTAATTATTGAAGCAAAAGCGAAACACAGAGAATAATATATACAGTGTGAAATGACAAGCAATTATGTTAATAGAGTGCTCTGTTTAAGTGTTACTTTGTACCATATATATACATATATATATACGTGAACATCGGCGCTTTGTGTTTGTATTGTACTTGTAGTTTGTGCTTGGTGTGTGTGTGTGGCTTTTATCCGACACTTACATATATTGTGGATTAACGTGCACATATGCCTCATTTGATGGTGCGTAGCGTGCTAGCTTGGAGCTTTATGCACAAAAGCTTTGCGCTCTTGCCGGTGCTGCTTAAGAGAGAGAGTGAGAATGATAAAAACAGAGAGAGAGCAACTGTGACAGTGTGTGTGCATGTGCTCTTCGACGGCCATACACGTGCTGGATAAATTGTAAATTGTAAACAAGTTGATAAAAGAAATGAAAGAAGCGACAAAACAAAAACATGCGACATTTACCGTTGCAAGAATGAATGTGCGAGTGTGTATGTCAATTGAGATGCCTAGCACCCATACAATGGTATGTTAATGTTATTATGTATGTGCATGTGTTTGTGTTAGTTCGGTTTTCGTATACATTAGTGGAGTGGGGCACACGAACCAAGCGTATAACGATGGGGCATAGAGTGTGGTGCCCATTACAGCATAGCGTCCTACAGTTGCATAATCAATATCCTCACGCTGCTCCGGCTGCTGCAAGACACATTCATAAATCAAATTAGCCCCTGCTGCAATTAAATGCATATATTCATATGCATATGCATATGCATAGCCACTCACCGCCAGCCAGCGCTTCGAGACATATTGCTGTGAGAACTCGGCAGCCACATAGAGACTGCCATAGATGGCGCTGTTGGCCACAAAGGGATGGCGTCTGAATACGCTGCGGGCGCCGGCAATGAGGCGTGACATTGTCTGGACAAATAATGAAAGCGCCGCAACAACAACAGCAAGTTCAAATTATGATTTATATATATTTAATAAACAGTTACAATTCTACGCCTTGCCCTTGCAAGAGAGACAGCTGCCAGCGCTGTCAAAGCTTCGCAGCAGAATGAAGCTCATTGCCTCGGCTCAGCTGTTACAAAAGCTATGCCAAATGAAGAGAGCGCAACGACTGGCTTGGCTTATCAGCATAATGGCGTGAGAGCGAGTGAGCATGAGAGAGCGCAATTGGGATATTAAATTTTCCGGTTATGCTTGATAAGCTCTATAGGTACGCTACAGCTGCAGCAATAATGAAATATATATAGAGATCAATAAATGAAAATTAGGTTTTGTGGAAATCAATTCGTTGGCTTTTAGTTCCTTTTTTATGATAGCTATAAAACAATAGTGCAATACTGCAAATTACAAGGCAAGCAAATATTTCACTATCTGTGCATATGTTTCCACAGATAAGATTTGTTCATTAAAACTGTCATTTATTTCTGAAGTCTGCTTATAAAACTAAATAGTGATGGCTATGGCAACAGAGGCGTATAAATGGAAACACCTGTACAGTAGATAAGGCAGATAAAAATTAAAGATTGTTAAGGATAAACATTTAAAAGCAGAAATCAAGTTATAGATAACTTTTTACTCTAAGCTTAAAAAGAAACTGTTTTTTAAGAAGTTTTTCCGTAAGATCGTCAAAAATAGAATAAGAAGTACAAGAAAATTACAGATAGTCAAATTCTGTCAAAAAATTTGCAATTCGTTAGATTATAAACATAATATAGTATAATTTGTTTTTGTTTAAGATTTTCTTCTTTGAAATTATAAAATATCTTAGACCATAAATAAGGAAAAAATTCTAATATTGTTAAATAAAGCTTTTTCTGAAATGTATAAAAAAGCTCTATGTATTTGAGATCAAATACTCTTTTGTATTTTTTCCTATGCCCAATCGTACCTCTCATTCAATTCCGCTTCCTTTTATTACAAACTTCATCAATCAGCGCGTCGGCTCATGCCTTTGCCATTTCAATCAAGGACACACATTGAGGCACATACAAAAAAAAACTTTTAACCATAAAAATGCAATAAGTGTATTTACTAACTGTACACCCTGACCCTGTACCCCTACTGCCAACGAATTTGCCTTTGCCTTTGCCTTTGCTTGTGCCTTGTGCTAACGGCAATTCACGCACGACTAACAAGCGACTGCAGCAAAACTTTGATTGAGTGCCAAAAGGAACTGTTTGTTGGGTGAGAGGTGCTAAAAACTGAAACCAATTTAAAAAGTTGGCCTAAGCATATGGCGAGAGACGGAGACACAGGAGGGAGAGAGAGAGTGAGAGAGATAGCGCTGGTTAGAAATGCAAACAGCTACAACACAAAAGCAAGCGACGACAACGCAGTCAATGCTAACAGCACAACACAACATCCAACAACGACAGCAACAACACTCGAACACTTCACATAGCGAGAATGAACTTTGGTGCGTTGGCCAGAAGTCTGAGCCACAGTCTACGACTTAGCCTGGGCTCCAAGAAGCAGACCAGCAATACGCCCACAGAGAACGAAGACACACGCGTGTCGACGCCAATAGCGAGCGACGACAGCGAGCAACCGCAGAGAGAGCATCTCAGTCAGGCCGTAGCCCAGCTCACTGATAGACGAGAGCCGTATAGGCAAACGGTAGAGCTAATACTCGATAAGGTGAGCGAGTTGGAGCACACGATCTATGAGGATCAGCAGCAGGAGTTCAAGCTGCGCATGGCCTTGGAGCGTCAAACGGAGCGCATACACGAGCTCAACTTCTCGCTGGACACCGAAAAGCAACGCAATGAGCGACTCGTGCAGCTGCTGCGCGGCGTCGACACCGATTCCTGCAGCGAAAGTGAGTCGGAATCGCGACTGCTAAGAAGCATGCGACTTGGCTCCAAGAGCGAACTCTATGACTCCATTAGTCCAATGCTGATGCAACAGCGGTAAGAGGGTTGGCTATAGAGCACGTTGAATGCTCTCCTAATTCGATCAGTCTAGTCTTCGCTCTAGCTGTAACCATTTGAGAATTGCAAGCCTCCAGACTTCACCTAAAATTGATCGTTTTACCCTAATCTCTTTGCAGCTATGATGAACTGAAGTCGTCGCATCGACAAGCCCATCGGCAGCTGGCCAAGAAGGATAAAGTCATAAAGATGCTCAGGTGCGATTTGGAGGTGTTGCGTGGCAAATATGATTCCATTTGTAGCGACTATCGCAACGAGCATCGACGCTTGAATGATCTCTACACACGTTACTTGGACCTGCGGCAGAAGAAGAAGCAGCAGGTTTTCATGCTCAAGGAGACTTTAGGCTTTGCCAGCGAATGCATTATGTATGCTCAACAGACCATTGATGGCTGCTCCAGAGGATGTCGCATAGATCCGCAGGACTTGCATAATTTCAATCAAAATTTTGAGTTCTTTATGCATTCGCTGCGCAACTGTTGCTGTCAGCGGCGATTGCTGGAGCTGCAGCAGCAGGAGGAGGAGATGCAGCAGCAGGAGCTGGAGTTTCCAAGTAGCCAAGAGTCCAATGCCACCAACAGCACATCGCAAGTGGAAGTGGCAAAGCAAAAGCGTCGAAGCCATCGAAAGCGTCAAAAGCCTTGAAAATGGTTAGAAATTTCGAATTTTTTTTTTCGTACTTTTCAATTTTGACTTAAATGTTTTTGGAAAGTCTATAGAAACATTACAAAAAAATAGTTAAGTTAAGCAAGAAAATGGAAAATAATAAAAATTTAAAAAATTGTAAACGTTTTAACAGAATATTTCTAATGGACTTCTTTAATTCTTTGAATATTTTTTAGAAACAGTAAAAATTGAGCTACAAAAAACGAAACTATCAAACCGAGCAACCTTTCATGCACAATCTGAGATTTGAGCTCAGTGATCGTTGTGTAGTTCCTCAGAATGGATCAACACTGAGGAAGGAGGGCAGTAATTTATTGGAATTTTTACAGAAACTAAAGCAAAATGCCGTTGTTGGATAAGAAGCCCCCGAAAGGTGTTGTTGCTCGGCAAAAAGCAGGGCAGAAACCTCATACTTCCATCAGCCTTCGCACGGCAGATAAAAAAGGCAACGAAACTGTCAGCTCCGATGGAGGAAGTGCTCTGCGCCCTATAATTGACTCCGATTCTGATTCGGATGACAAGCATTCGGAAGTACTTCCGGCCACCGATGTGACCGTTTATAATGCATACGATATGGGACCCGCTTTCGGTTGCAAGTTCCCAACGCAATTCATAGGATTAATGGTCGAGCGGTGCCTATATGAAAAACTAAAAGGTACGTAGTAAGCAAGGAATATATGTTTGAAATGAAATCTATTTATTTTTATTCAATACTCAGGTAAAACATATCAAATGGACTCTGCCGCAAAATTGGCGCGCGATGTAGCCGATGGAATAAACTTAAAAATGAAAGGCTCTTGCCTGCAACACCGTTACAAGCACGTAATTCAAGTCAGCATATATCAGCAGACAGGTGCTGGTTTTTTTCATGGCTTTCGCGCTGTTTGGGATACGCTTTCTGATGATTATATATGCAAAACCATTGATATGGGCACTTTTGTGTGTATCGTCGTGGTATTTGGTTGTTATCAGTATTGAATTAAATTAGTTGCACATAGCACATTAGCACCTGTTGCATTATTCAAATACTTTTGGAAGTGCGCGCAATAACAACTGTGGTAATGTATATCGATATATTATGCGCAAGCCAGCAGCACAGAACAGCTGTGAATTGGCTGCCATTCTTATCGATACTATCGATAAATGGTTGACCATACCTAATTAAAATAAATGCGCACATGTTTCAGTTAGTTTTGTTAGTAATTTTTTAAAAAATTAAGATAATTGTTTAAATAATATTGCTGCTAATCACAAAATGAAGGTGAAAATGATAAGCCGCAACCCGGACAACTATGTCCGGGAAACCAAACTGCAACATCATAAAGGTAAGATATTTGTCAACTGTTGAGTACATTAAATAGCAAAAAATTGCAGTTCCACGAAATTATGATCCGGCACTGCATCCTATGGAGGGGCCTAGGGAATATGTACGCGCTTTGAATGCTACCAAACTGGATCGTGTGTTTGCCAAACCATTTGTGTGCAACTTGAGCGGTCATCGCGATGGCGTCGCCTGCTTTGGCAAACATCCCAAGCTGCTGTCCACGCTGGCCACCGGCGCCTACGATGGTGAGGTTCGTATTTGGGATCTGGCAAATCGCATCAGCCTGCGCAGCTTTGTAGCCCACGATGGCTTTGTGCGGGGCATTGCCTATGCTCGGAATGGTCAACGTTTCTTCACTGTGGGCGATGATAAAACGATTAAGGTGTGGAACGCAGAGGCGCCTGATGTAGGCGAGGAGGAGGAGCCGGTTAACACAATATTGAGTCGTCACATTTTGCATGGCATTTCACACAATCGTAAGGACAACAGCTTCGCCACCTGCGGCGAGGTATGCGCAATTTGGGATGAACAGCACAACGATCCCATCAAGACTTTGAAATGGGGTGTAGACACGCTTCACACCATTTCCTACAATCCAGTTGAGACAAATGTGCTTGCCTGCTGTGCCAGTGACCGCAGCATTATTTTGTACGATCAGCGAGAAGCGCAGCCGCTGCGCAAAGTTGTGCTGACCATGAAGAGCAACAAACTTGCGTGGAATCCCATGGAAGCCTTCAACTTTACAGTAGCCAACGAAGATTGCAAGTAAGCAGATTCAACTTCTAGAAAAGATTCATGCTAACAGTCGCCTTTCAGTCTCTACAGTTTCGATACACGTAAACTGCAGACGCCTCTTAAGGTTCACTTCGATCACGTCTCGGCTGTCACAGATGTGGACTACGCGCCTACGGGCAAGGAGTTCGTTTCGGCTAGTTATGATAAGACGATGCGCATCTATCATGCACATCAAAGTCACTCCCGCGACATTTATCACACCAAACGCATGCAGCATGTGGTTTGCGTTGCGTGGTCACTAGACAATCGTTATATTTTCTCCGGCTCGGATGAAATGAACGTGCGCATGTGGAAAGCCAATGCGTCCGAGAAGCTGGGCGTCATACGTCCACGCGAACGTACTAACTTCAACTATCAGGAAGCTCTCAAGGAGAAGTACGCAGCTCATCCACAAATTAAGCGGATTGCGCGTCATCGACAGGTGCCGCGTCATGTGATGAATGCACAGCGGAAAATGCGTATGGTCAAGGACAAGGAGTTGGTCAAGGAGGCCAATGTGCGCAAACACTCCAAGAAGGGCAAGGTGCCCTTTGTCAACGAAAAGCAAAAGCATGTGCTCCGCGAAGATATATAATAATGTTAGGTTTAGGTTTCTAGTGATTACGTACAATATACAAATATGGAATTCAAATTGCAAAGTACGTTTAATCGATATATACTTTGTGGGCCAGCGATGCCGATAACAGTGTGCGATTATTTAGCCTGTTTCTGTTTATAAAAGGTTGTCATCTCCGATTTACGAAGTCATTTGTAGTCAGTTGTTACGGCAGCGGCAGTCCGTTTTGTTTGGTCGTTAGATTTTTATTTCTTTTTCGTTATTTCGCATATTTGTTTATAAACCTGCCCCTGCCAGTGCCTGTGCGTAAAACAAGTTTTCCTTAGAACATAAACACACAGCTGCGCTAAGCAAAATGGATGCACTTAGCGACTTGTTGGCCCCACATAGTGAAACCATCGGCAAAATAGCCGGCACAGTAACTACACTACAATTTCTGTCCGGCATAGCACTTTTAAATGATATTCGCAAAAAGGGAAGCAGCGATATTTATCCAATTGGACCATTTTTGGGCGGCATAGTGCTGTAAGTGCTACAAATCTGAAAAAATCATAAACCAAATAGTGCAATTTTACGCCTCACTAAACACAAACAAACGCAATACCACTTAGACAAATAGGAAACCAAATAACAATTGCAGCTGTCTGTAAAATTGATTAAATTTTTTGAATTGTCGCCATGACGCTGCCAAATGGGCTAGAAAATAAGTAAGATATGTGGGTGGTTCAAGGCTAAATCAAAAAGCTGCTCATATATAGTTCGATAGATCGGTCAATGACAATTGACGGTTACATAAAACAAACTCTCCCCTCTAATTACCCAATTAGAATTTGTCAACATTTTGAAACAGTTCTAGTTGGACACATACTAAATTCTTATCGCTTTAAGCCTACAGCACGTACATCTTATCTTCATATACATGAGTGTAATATATAAGCGCTTCTTAATATGCGATGGACGCCACTTGGGAGAGTCGTCTATGATTGTCTATAGCCAGCAGCTTAACTAATCAGTGAGCTGGACAAGCCCAGTTAGGCGCAATTGTCGACCTCGCCTCGCCTACACCACGTGCTGCTTTTCCTTAATGAAATTGAAAATGCAAATGCAAAATGGGGCCAAGTGCCAAACGACACGCGAGAATTTCCGCTAGATGCAACAGTTGCGTGTTCCTGCCTGTGTTGTGTTTTTTTTAGAGAGTGGATAAGTGGGCGTAGGAAGTGCCCTCTAAACATGGGTCATTCACGTGTTGAACCAGCTTTGCTTAGGTTAGCTATAAAGATTTAGAATTTATGATAAAGTAGTCAGATTAGTTTATTTAGTGAATTAACTTACTTTTATAATATTACTACTTTTATAATATTAATAAAACAGTACAGCATAGCTTGCCTAAGCCGAACACATTCTGTGTTTTGACGAGTAAAACTGGATGGATATTGATGGATATATCATCATTTTTAAGAATGTTCAATTTTTCATTAAGTTATATATATTGATTTTTGTAATTTTATTTAATATTTTTAAAAATTGTAGCTTTAAGTTAAATTGTTATTTTTGGAGTTTCCACTGTAAATTGTTAGTTGAAAGATTTCTAACTTAACTCTTATCAATAAGCCAGCATGAATATATATACTATGATTTGATATGCACTTGTGCTATCAATTACCTAGGTGAAACATAGATTAGTATTGTGAAATTCTAATGGGGCGACTAGAATAGTTATAAATATTTATAGGTTCTTTTTTAGCTAATCAAACATTTATCTCTATTGATTTTCCCTCTTCAATCTTCCCATAGTACTGTTCTTAGCTTGAAACTGGGGCAAATTATGGGCGATCAGCCAATGATAAATGTCAATGTCATAGGCTTCGCTATCAATTCGATTTTCATGGTTGGCTTTTATTACTACGCTTCGAGTGAGAACAAATCAAAGATCTGGATCAAGATTGGCTACGCCGCACTGTTCCTGATGGCCTGCATAGCCTATGCGAACTTCGAGGATCCCAAGCAAATTGAGTTCCGTCTGGGCATGCTAATCACATCGATACTCGTTTGGCTGGTTGGCTCGCCGCTACTCAATTTGCCCAACATTATCAAGAAGAAGAGCACGGAGGGCATGCCCTTTCCCATTATTTTTGCCGGACAGCTAGTTGCAACAGCCTGGACCTTGTATGCGGTGTCCATACGCAATCATGTCATGGTGGTAAGTGCTTTGGCTTACAATCGAGTCAAGTCCTCTTCTCACTTCATATCTTTTCTCATTTTGTAGTATCAGAACTTGTTCCTGTGGATCTTGGGCGGTATCCAGCTGTTCATGTTTATCATCTATCCCAGTACACCGGCCAAGAAGCCCACTGCCAAGTCCGAGAAGAAGAAGGAAAAGTAAACAACTCACGTACAAGTACCTTAACTCAACGAATTAAGAAAGACATTAAATATTGACACCTCTGACATCATCTAGAAATTTCAGCTTATCTAATTATTCCAATTTCGAGATCAAACGCTTCTAGTACAATTTTGACTAAACAATAATCAGGCAGGGTTCCATCTAATAATAATAATAATTAGCTAATAATAATTAGCTAAGCTTATTTACAAATTCAATTGTTGTACATATTCAATTTCAAGCGCGAATTGTGAATTTCTGAATACAGTTCGTATTATGAATATAAGCTAACAATAACTGGATCAGATCTATATATATATAGATATTTGAAATGCCTATTAATTATCTTGTATATTACGCCTTAACTAATTTTTTTGTTATTTTCAAATAAATAACATTTGTACAAAGCATATGAAACTATTTGCAAATTTTGACAATAATTCAAATCTTCCAATTGCATATTTATAATTAGTATATATATAGTATATATATATCTATATATATCTATATATAGTCAATATATTAATTCAATAAACGAGTTACAAATCATTTACATTTTATTTCATTTGTATGCTCAGCTTCTAGTTATGCTCCTACTCCACTGGAATTGTGGAGTTGTAATGGGCGCCTAGTTGGTAAATGTGACGATGATAGCAAACGACGAGAGGCGCCCCGCCAAACTCCTCCAAGCCCAGCAGCGTGGAGGAGCCCTCGGCCTGGATTACCTCAATGGGCACGCGTAGTAACGAGGAGAGCGCCTTGAGCTCGATGTGTCCGCCCCAGGCATGGGTTTTGACTATGTCCCGGCAGTAGGATTCGAATTGCTCGTCATTGAGTAGATCTCCTGTATCCGGATGGGTCATATAGCAAATGAGATCATCTTTATGGGCGCGCACATAGTTGCCCGTCTCGGTTCGCAGCTCCTGGACACTGTGGCTGGGCATCGCATTCAGCTGCAGCTGATGTCGTATCGCATTGTAGAGACAATCGCCATCTGAGGGTATCATGTGGAGCGCCAGCTGGCGGTCTTTCAGCTTGGCTGTGATTTGTTGCAGTTCAATTTGCTTGGGCGACGGCTGATTGGCGGCGTTTTGCAGTTCCACCCGGATTTCCTCCTCCCGTTCGCGTGCCTCCTTTTCCTTTTTGTTCCGGCGCTTTTGGGCCTTCGACACACGTTGGTGCGTTGGATGCACTACATCGGACTCTTCATTGTCACTGTCTGCAGCTGGGGCTGCTGTTGACAATTTTTCCACTGCGGGCTCAATTGCAGCTGGTGATGCAGCTTCTGCCGCAGTAGCATCTTGGAGCTCAACTTTGTGACGCTGTTCCAGTTCTCCTTCTAGACGGGCCATCTCCTCGAGAAATTCTTTGCGTTTGTTTTTGTTGTTCTTTGGGGCATTTTTCTTCATTGCCTGCAATTTGGCTTGCAGCTCCTTGCGCTCGCGACGATGACGACTAGCGACATCCTCTAAAGAGGCCTCGCCAAGTCGCGCCTCCAATTCATTAATGGCTTCTACGCACGACATTTTGTTAAAATTTTAATAAATTATCTTATAGATGTGATCGATGGCGCTCAGCTGTACTGTTAACGATGGCGCAAAATGCTCAATGTTAACGCAGCAATGCCAATCGTATAGCAATGCTGTACTGTTATCGAAGTATCACTGTTACCACTTACGTACGTAATGGATACATTTAAATGAAGTACTTAGCAGACTAAACTTTCAAATTGAGCAGTTCTTCTCCATGTTAATAAACAGCTAAAAGGTTTAACGGATTTTCAAATTGCATATGCTTATGCATCTATTTTAATTATAGAAATTATTTCAATATAAACAATTTTAGGTATACTAGTATTTTGTGCTCATTACTCCCATATTTGAAAGCACTCTTAGATCAAAGTTCATGCCCACAATATTAATTTGCCTTATTTGAATATACTAGGAATATATTGTTTTCTAGTAACTAAAATGATATACATTTAACATTAAAATGGTTTGCATATTATATACCTAAACGTATAACATATTTTGCTCGGCAAGTGTCAGGTGTGAGCTCAAAATGTAAAAATAAAAAGATCCTAAAAGCTTTTCGTTGAACATGCTGTAGACTTTTAAATTGAAAGCTGCTTAGTGACCAGAGAAGACTATTAACATGTTTATCTCTTACGAATATATATATGTACGTATGTTGTAAAACAAAAACTTAAAGAATCAACCTTAGTTTATATATGAAAGAATCATACAATGACTTTTGTATCGAATTATTTACACGACCAACAACAGATACGATCTTTAAATTTATATTTGTATACTTAAAAGGACAAAAAAAACTGCAAGACTTATCGAAAGGCCGTTTCCAACGGCTAGTCTAGAATTGCAAAGGTGATCACTTAACTGCTATATTAATCTTTGTAGCTAATGTGAATTTGATTTCCAGTCGAAAGTAGATGTAAAAATAATAGAAACGGAAGCACCGACTACTAAATTATAGTACCCCAGCGGCCAATCAGTCTATAGGCTTTTGGTAATGTTGTGGAACAAGCGACGTCCCCACCAAGACTCCAAATCGAATGGCTTAAAGTCGTTCAGTGCTGGACTTGGCGGCTCTACCCAAACAGCCGGCGCAGCCGATGCCGCCACAGGTGTATTGGCTATAATGCTATCCACAGGACTGGGTGTGGCCAAAGTTGATGCGCTGTTATTGTTGGCATCGGCCTTGCCATCGTGCTTCACAGTGCTGGAATCATACGGGTTCTGCGCAACCAAAATATTCCACGCTGCAAGTTTCAAGATACATTGAAATTCAGAATGAACAACAAACTGTATATTTAAATTGTGTCACTTACAGTCGTTAATGTAGCGTATTATCTCCTCATGTTGCGGCGTTATCACCTCATCCTCAATGAGCTTTGTGGGAGCAATGCGTTTCGAAGCGAAGCTCTGTTGAAATACCGGGCGCGGTATGCTAATAGATTCAAATAGAAGTACGTTACATTAGCATAAGAATAAGATCCACAGGCACTTGCATTAACGTAAGAATAACAAACTGCACATATTCAGATTGAGTACTTATGCAAACATACGTCACGCACATGTGGACTACGAAAATAAATCTCGTAATAATGGAAAATCTTTCGTCAGAGCACTTTCTGTGACGTAACGGGCAGAAAATGGCAGACAAGTCGATGCGCCGCTGCTGGCGATAACCGAAACAAACCCACGTGTTGTCAGCTAGACTGGCTGTTCTGGTTACTTAATTAACATGGTTCTGTTATATACAAAGGTCGACCTATACGATTTATATTCTTTTTTCTTTTGAGATAAAACGAATGATCTGAGATAAGCCTAAGTGCAGCAAACATCGTTTGCATAAGCCACACACACACGCACACGTAGTTCACTTACTTCTTGTTCTTCTCGGGACTGTTGAGATCAAAACTCTGGCTGATGCTGCCATGTTTCTTGCCGCTCTCCTTAATGCTCTCGAACTTTTCAAAGTTTTGTGGCAGACCTGTGGGCGTTTTGTTTGTTATTGTTTGAATGCAAATTTGGTTTACCGGCAAAAATTACAAAACAAAGAGCGAAAGCAAACGCCTGAGAGAGCGCACTGCGGGAGCTTGGCAGCGCTGCTTCTGTCGGCAGCGGCTGCGGCATGTTGTGACATAACAGCAACACTTTTGCAGGCGGTCGTCTTTCGCGTAAGGTTTATTGTACTTTTTACACCATTTACATATATTTGTTTAAATGTAACTTACCGCGTCGCGTTTTAGCAACAATTTTGCTAGGTCCCTTATTTACTGTGTACATGTCAATTTTATGAAAATAATTTTTTATTATTGTTACTTTATACTGTCCAATATATCCTTTGCTTTCAGTTTTTGTTTATTTTTACGTCTATGTGCTCTTTGTTTTTGAAAATCATATGATTCAAAAATTTATTTAAATCCAACTGTTGACAAGCTGTTCTCTTTGCAGTTGTTTTTGTTTTTCTTCGTTCTGCTGTCTCATTTCAAATTCATCTTCTCGTTCAAGCAATTACACAATATTCACAGTTAGCTTTGACTTTTATATCAATCGATGTATGCGCTTTGTTGTTGTTGTTATCGCTATTTCTATTGCTATTGATTTACTATTGTCTAAATCAATTGTTTGCATTAATGGCCAATGCTGAATTATTACTATTGCCAATTGAATGCTGAAGGGTTACCGACTGCCTCACCGTTCGCGTAACAGAAATCTAATGAGTCCCCCCACAATGCAATAGCTGCTCACACTAGCTCTCGCACTCACACAAACACTGAGAGGCGCACACGCACACACACGTGCACTTGAATTTTGAAAACATATGGTGCGCTGCTGCCAGTGTGTACACGGCAGATGTTGGATTTAAATTGTTACCTGCTTGCTTTTAAACTCATTAAACTGAGATTTTTTCATCGGAAATCATAAAATAATACGCCGTGTCCATTACTGTTACCTACACTAATCATAGGCAGCTGCATCGATAGTTCTCTGAAAATTTGCACAACTTTATGACAGGCCCTATTAAATTTGCGTGCACGTTTACCGTATATAAAAGTCAGGATAAGGTATTTGGGAAACTAGTTGCAAGGCAGCATCCGTCAACAGCGCTTAGACAGAGTCAGCGAATCTACGCAAAAAAATCTAACGTTCAAGGATGGCCAGCATTGAAACAAGTCTAATTTTACAGCGGCTAAACAGCCTGAAAATTGTAGAAACTCCAAAACAGCCGCAGCGTGATAACGGAAAACGTGAATGTTACTCGGAGGACGTTAAGAAGCCGCATGTACCTGCTACACCCTGTTCTGGCGCCGTCGGATTTTTAACGGAATTGAAGAAGCGACGGAAAGTCAAACTAAATCGGGTCTATAGCTATGAGATGGACAAGCATTTTGTTAAAGCACGCAAATCACTTAATTTTTAACATAATTAATTTGTACGGATGTAATCACTAGTATTAATCACCTTTGATTTCAAATCAATATTTTTCCTAAATCATAAACAAATACATTCCTTTTTTATAATTGTTCGCGCTTTATTTCAATATGAGATCAGATAAGTTAATTTTGTCCATGTTTAACATTAAATTTAAATATACACTCATTCTAAATGTATGTGAATTTAAATTTGGCATACGTTGAATTGACAAATGACTATGGTCACATTCAAGCTGATGCAGCCCTGGCCGAACATCTGTTTGGCTGTGATAATTGACTTCCTATTGCATACAGCTAGATGAATTGGTTCTTTAAACTGCATTTATAATAATAAGCTTTAGCGAAAATAATAATGGAAGACGTTCCAATGGGAAATGAAACAAACTCAAACAGCAGCGAATCGTTCAATGAGACAGCAAGCCTGCAGCAGCATCATACACCAGAGTTTTTGCAACGCAAAATCTACTTCCTAAGTAAGTTTTTTGTTTTTACATTTTATGAAAAATGTTAATTTATATACTTATATTAGTGGATCAGCTTAAAGAAATGCATTCCGAGCTGCCAGAGTGAGTAAATTCAAATGTCAACTGTTAAAGACTTAAATAATTTTAAATCAGGACCCTGCAGACACGAATATCCTACGATCTGCTCACCGAGCTGGCAAATTGTGTTTTGAATGAAAGCATTTTCGATATAGTAAAAGCATTAATGGAACTGCAACATGTAACGGAAAAGCATTTAATACAGATGCGTGCGCAAGTAGAGAATGAATATGAAATCGAGGTTGCTGATTGGCTTGTCAAGATCAAAGATCCAGAAGAACTGCAGCACATACTTGGACTTATGAAAATTAAACATACGAAAAAACTATTGGAAACAGACAAGAAAATAATTGAAGTACTGGATCAGAAGGCAAGTTGCAAGAATATTTTTACTCTCTTAATACAAGCTAATGCCATTTTATTATCATTTAGGTTCACGACCAACAATCTATGCTGCAAAAAGCAGGAGTTCCTGGGTTTTACAACACACAGAATCCCAAGGAAATCAAAATTCAAATGTTTTTATTAGATTTCATATTACGCCTGAGTCTACTGAAATTCGAGCCGAACAAATAACAAACAGTCTAAACTTTATCAATTAAAAGACTGCAGCCAAATTCATTAATTGGCTTGTTACCAATAACAAAATACTATTTATATACATCAATAAAATTATGTGTAGCTAAATATTTATTAGACACTGTACAAGTTTTTTTTTATTGAAAGCTCATGCTAGTCAAGCTTTGCAACAAGTATGTGAAAGCTTTTGTACCGAGCGCACACTCGTCTCGCTTAACAACATGTGTGATTGTTGCCAGCAACACTTTTACCACTTGCTCATCTGCTCTCACTCACACTCACTCCTCCTCTCTTTGGGTATGTGTGTAGCATGTTATCAAATTAGTATTAAGTGCGCTTCGTCGTTTGCGTATAAATTGAGTGGCATCCCGCTGTAAGACAACAGTTGCTCGCATTTCTTTAAGCAAAGCACTACAAAATTTCTTTGTAAAACAAACATGTCGCTAACCATCACCAAAGATGTTTCCACTCCTGAACTCAAGGATTTGGTAAGCTAGCGGGATGTACAAAGTGTTTTTCAAGTGTAATAAGTCAAAATTTCATGATGAGGCGCGCAATGAATTGAATTTAAATACAATTTAATTTCCGAGTGCTTTGAACTTTTGCCAAGGCCAGTACAGCAATTTTTAAGCTTCTATTCTCACATTGCTTTGCTTTGTTTTGGCCAGCTTTAGTTGCCGCACAACTTGCAAAGATTTAACAACAGCCAAAAAATGTTTGCGCGTCTGTTTCGTAATTTTAAAGCAAGTATAAAGGGATTTTAGGCAATAATTACTATTAAATTTGGGCTCGTTGCTGTGAAATTGGAATATATTGTGCAAATTACAAATCGTGCTGCTCGTAACTTTCGATTTTATTTGCTTTAACTATTTTCACTGCCTACATTAACATTGACCTTGAGTCAGCGCTGCAGCGACGCATCTGTGACGTCACAGCTGCAGCCAGCAAACAGCTGCGCTCGGCTCTGTTGCTGGTCTCTCTCAAACAGCTGAGCAGCGCGCCTGAGAGAGCTGCGAATACATATCAAAGAGCAGTTGAAATGAAAAGAGCGTGAACACAGTTATTTCAGTTGTCGACGTAGCGCAGTTTGTGCTAAAGAACTTCAAAAGGCGACGTGCTGAAAGTTTGTGAAACAATTTCTCGACGTTTGTGTATGATGCGCTGTCTGCCTGGCTTTGGCTACGGCCTCACCTTCCTGTTTCTGGTGCTCTGGCTGTTTGCAGTGCATTGAACCCTTGAAACTCTAACTCATCAAATGTCTTTTTGTTTTTGTCTCCTTCCAACAGAGTACTGTGCGCAATGAACAAAAGGAGCTGAATCTTTCTCCTGTACATCGTCTGAATGTGAGTCATGCAACTGCAACCTTTGGCATGGGCTGCTTCTGGGGCGCCGAGTCGCTGTATGGAGCAACGCGTGGAGTGCTGCGCACCACTGTGGGCTATGCCGGCGGCAGCTCCGAATTGCCAACGTACCGTAAAATGTAAGCACTATAAATGAGGCATAAATTGGGCTAACAAATATCTATCCCTCTCTCTCTCCCCTTTACAATCTATCTATGACTCTGCTTTGCCTCTTGATAACGCTTATCGCTTACTAACCGCTCAACTTTATGCAGGGGTGATCACACGGAAGTGCTGGAAATTGACTATGATCCATCGGTGATTAGCTTCAAGGAGCTGCTGCATCTATTCTGGAACAATCATGAGTATGGCCTAACCAAGCCCATGAAGCGGCAGTATGCCTCATTGATACTCTACCATGATGATGAACAGAAGCAAATTGCGGAAGCCTCCAAGCTGGAGGAGCAGGAGCGTCGCCTGCCTGAGGTGATCACCACGAGCATTGCGCCCAAGGAGAACTTTTATGCAGCTGAGTCGTAAGTTTATTGAGCTACATTCTATCCATATATATATATATATACTAATATATATATATATATATATATATTTGTGCTTACAGCTACCATCAAAAGTACAGACTGCAAGGACACAAGGATCTGGCTGCATCGCTCAATCTAAACCCAGAACTGCTGCAGTCCAGCTACGTGGCCACCAAGCTGAACGGCTATCTCGCCGGCGTGGGCGGCATTGAACAATTCAAAACGGAGGTGGAAACCCTCGGACTGACGCCCACTCAGCGACAATATTGCAACTACCATATTGAGCAGAACGAGGGTCAGGGTCTCTACTGCTGACCGGGTTACATAGATGTTAAGCGTAAATCGTATACTTAAGGGGGTTCATATGCTAATAACTGTAAACAATGTCCTTGAATATCCTGTTTTCCAGTTTTGTGTGCAGCAAAACGCGTATTACTTAGTACCTAGACAAATATATTGATAATAATAAATATATAAATGATTTTATGCCCGTCCTTTGATTACTCAACGTAAGATCTGATATCCCAGCTGAAATTCAATATCGTAATATGATATCTGGAGCAACATGTGGTCTTAGACAAGAAGTCAAATGATTGTAATTTAATAGGGGTAGCTGACTATATATCAGCAGCCTAGATCTAATAAAAACGCTTATTCATCGATTTGTAGTAAACATTCCACTCACGAATCTGCTATTCATGTTCATAAATGTGAATCAAATGACCAGCAATTTATGATATATAATATATATCAAAAGCTACAAATCTGAATTGTCATCGGTAATTAGATTAGGCCACTATTGCAGCCGCACAGAGGGTCTACGCCTGGAATCGTAAATGTAACTTTTAGGGCACTTTTCAGTTGTGCTAAATATAAAGATAGATAGCCATTAGAGTGCCAGACTAGAGCTGGATCTTTGCTAGATCTATAAAGATCAGACGTAACTAATTTTATGGCATCTTTACATAGCTGAAATATTGCACTTTCAAATTATATAAGATATACGAGCTAGTTCTTAACGATGCCTACAGGCTTATCGGCATGGCTATACATCCTATATAATATCAGCCATGTATGACGTTCTACTCCATAAACTGATACACTAAACCCATAAAGAAGAATTGGATTCATATAGATAGATGCTAATAACCTAACTTTATTGACACTTTTCTCTTTAAGAAGATATATATATCTTTGCTAGAGATTTACTATATCTCTTTAAGGCTCGTCATTGGAATATGACCTTAATAAGTGCTGACAGGGTTCTAATAAGGGCTTGTATATATAAGTAACTTGATAAAAAGAGATATATCTATTACGCTATATGTGAGATATAGCAAATATTTCAACTATATGTAATTTAAACCTATAATATATATATATATAAACCTATTATATATTATATATTATATATATATATTTATTTAATAAGATATATACAGCCTTATATATGCACTGCATCTATGCCTGAAACACTTATCAAAATCCTATATTTGTATACTAATACTAGATACGAGCAATATCATTCAGAGAAAAGTCTGATCAGCCATTGATCAAGTTCATCAAACAAGTCGCGACACACGCCGTGGCATTGCGAGCCCCGCAGACACCCGGACCCGGACCCAGCCAGAAAGAGCTTACACACATGTCTATGAGTGTGTCAAGTCGACGCTCTCGTTACACACACACACACACTCACATCACTCTAGCTGCCCATCTCGCCCTCCCCTTCGGCGAGCACTCTCTTGCTCTCTATATATGGATCTGTCTGGCGCTTCGACCGGCCGCGTGTCTCATTGATGATAAAGTCAAAAGCGAATTCCCAGCGAAACTCTGAAATGTTTTTTGTTTACAACAAATGGCACGATTTAAAATGTATTTCGTTAAATGATTTCGATATGTTGTGCCACATGGATTTAGCCACAATTTGGTACACTTATAGTGTTAGCCGGGAAGTATCTGATTTTTAAGGAATCAACAAAATCGGTGCAGGCAGCTGCGAGCTATAAACTTTTGCCATTTCGGGCAGTTCTAATGCTGCAAGATGCACAAATTTTGGACATGTCATGGATCCAGGTTCCGACTAGCTATATACCAAATTTCAGTCAAATCTAAGCGGCGGTTCGATGCCAGGGATTTTTACAAAAATTTGTGTTATAAGGTTTTCCGCTGAGTTCCGCCTCGACACGAGATACGAGGTAAGACTTACATATATACATATATATATATATATATATATATATATATATGTGTGCCTTAGTTGTGGCATAGATTGTAGATTGTTATGTGGTAGGGGAGGCTGTGCATGGGGCAGCCAGCCCGAATCGTGCCGCTGATAGGGGTCAATGGGGTTTCCGTCTTGGCTGCAATCGAAATGATTTGCATAAAATTTAATTATTTGCGTGATATGATTTTTATATAAGTTTTATTTGTGCTCATAAACAAATCGAACTAACTCACAGATTAGCGCGCGTATAAAATCTATAAAAAAAAATTGTGAAAGTCACGCAGCTGATAAAATTTCATTTTGAGCTGGTGCAGTGAACTGATTCAAGGATTGCCCAAAATAGAAGCCGTAAGATCAAGATTTGAAGTGAAGCTAATCTGAAAACTACTGAAAGATAAAGATTGTCGCAAATAAAGCTAATCCGAAGACTTGGCACAGCTAAATGAAGGCTTAAACTTGACTCTCTTTTTAGTCCTGTCATAAAAGGGATTTAGAAAGATTCGCAGATCCGTGCAGAACTCAGGTAAACGTACTTCAAGGCCAAGAGGCAACGTCTTCTTTTCTTTTTTTTCTTTTACTGCCAACTCTTATCATCTAATCTTATCAAGGCTAGATGAATCTAAGGTTAATCAGCAAACCGGGGAGCAATGCTCCAAGCACTTGCCCCAAATTGCCGTCAATTGAGCTTGCCATAGAATATATGATATGATATATATATGCAAGAGCTCATAATATGATATAGTTATACTATATAAGATATCATTATATGCTTCTGCTTTCAGTACGCTTTCATGCAACAAAGCTCTCCGATTTGTCGGCTTTTAGCGCAGTTTCTTGCCCCCATTTTCTCTCAGTGCATTGCGTTATAATCGAAAGCTTTCGCAAGCTTTCAGTTTTAAAGTTTTTTGTAAGGTTTTTGTATTAAATCACCAATTGCATACTTAGCGGAACTTAGTTAACTAAATCTTAAAAACTATAGCATAAAACACGGAAGCACTGCAATCGATTGGCACATCGATTGCTTGTTATCGATCACATCAGCAGTCATTCAATGGAATCATCACTCAAATTCTCATTGTGAGGCGTCGCATGGGTTTCTTCTGCTCGGCCTCCCAGCGCTGACGACGCAGACGCAGCAGCTCCTCGCCCTGACGCTCCTTGCGCAGCTCCTGCGTGCTGGGCGACAGATTGCTGGCCTCGGGCAGACGGCGACAGATGACGAAGTCCTCCTCCATTTCCTTGGCAAACAAATTCTGTTTGCGTATGCGCACCATGCGCTTCGGTGTCGCTGTCAATGGCGCCTCATTCTCTGTCACCTGCTGCTCCGTGCTGGTGTCCAGCAGCAAGTCCTTGAACATATCGTCGATGGCAGTGTAATATAACGTGGCATTGGAGCTGGACATGGCTGCAAGAACCTGACGCTTCGCTGGCGAAAACTGAACTGTGATTGATTCCACGACGGGGCGAGACGTAGTTGCAGCTAAAATTCATTTGCAACCCTCGATTCTTTTCCCTTTTCGACTACCTGACCAGCTCAGCCTAGACAAAGGGAAAATTTGTTTACCCAACAGCTGCTCACAGATGAGGGTAAGTCAGCGGGTCATCTCGCCCTTTCTATCTCCCTCTTCTTCTCTTTCTTTAGGAATTTCCGCTTACAGCTGAGGGCATACCAGCGTGTCGTCTCTCGCTCTCTCCCTCCTTCTCTCTAACTCTAGGTATACCCTCAAAAATATGATGATGCATCTTTCTCCCTTCCTCTCAAGAAATCCCCTCTTCTCTCACATAGACTCACATATCCAGGCATTACCTAATTCCTTTTGCGTTTTGAAGTACTTGCAATTCAGCAAACCCTATGAATTTTAGAAGTATTATAAATGCTGATTCGGAGTAGCTATATACCAAAATTCGTATGGATCTTACCATAAATTAGCCTAAAATTTACCCATACTAAAGCTGTGAATTCAGTATTTTGATCTCTCTCTAGGGTATTACCTGGGTCTAATACGCCTTGACAAATTGCTGGCATTGCTTAATGGTTTTTCCTCACAAAATATGTCATTTCCTATGAATCATATAGCGTGTTATAGCAACGCAAGTCCAAGCCCAAAGCCCTAGTAAAAGAAACGCCATATAAATGGGCCATACGAGCTATTTTGGCCCAAACAAACGCAGCAATCTGGCTGATAAGGCGGGAAACCAATAATATGAGAGTGATTAGATTATGTCCATAATAAGTGAAGTAAATGAAGCTTTCGATGTTGGCGTTGTCGTTGTCGTTGTTTATTCGTTAACTATTTTAGCTTATATTATAAATTCTTTGAGCTTATTTTCTTTACTATTAACATTAGTATTCCTTATTGAAGAAGTCCCGTATGCTTCGCTTAACAACTGGCAACATTCTCTCCAGCTGCTTCTGTTGGTTGTTATTGTCGTTATCCTTGTTGTAGTAGACAGTGAAGTAGACGATCAGTCCAATTATCACCAGCAGCACGAGGAACGAGCAAATGATGCTCATTAACATTTTGCAAGCGCATGAGCAGCAGCTAAGGGAGAAAGAAACAGATTTGAAATTGATTGGGTTCAGCTTTTTATAAGTTGGCAACATTTCAGCAATTCTTTAACTAAAGCCTGTCTATAGATCCCATATACTATTCGATCTACTGTATGCAAAAATACCATGTTAAATGTGTTTAAATCAGGTAAAGTTCATGGACAGCTAAATATATGAAAGAATCTGTTTTCCGATTTGCCATGAATCTAAAGAGAGAAAATATATAACTTAGAGATATGCTTATATAAATATATTACTTAAAAATATGTTAGCAAGGCTTGATAGACAACATCTAAGCAATTTATCTGTTTAGCTATTTCAAGCTATAACTCAACTTTGATTATATGACATACAAAACTCTTCATATCTTATATAGTATCTCTAGAGCATTTCACCTGCAAAACTTGATAATTTAATAATCTAGGTTTGTCATATTGTCATATTAAACTACTTACAAAATTTAAAAATTCTACCTATACCACTATATAAGCTATGTTATGCCTAGAGGAAAGGTCTTTATGCTAAATTTTAATTAAATAATATAGAGGGCTAAAATAAGCTGCTAGCCATATAGGCTTAGACCGATTTGCTAACAGCTTGAAGCTTGATAGCTATAGCCCTAATTGGGTAGCTTACTGCTGACTTTCTATGGCTCGATTTGCCATATAGAATGTCAAGATCTACCCTAGAGTATATATTTGAAATTTCAAATATCTCCAGCTTCATGAGAACAAAGATCTAAATACTTATAATAAAACATCCATATATACATTATTTTTATCACATGAGCAACTATACCGATTTCACACCTATCCTATTATAGCTGACACCTGAGTCACAATTGCGAAATATTTATATTTATTTGAAAAACTTACCAGCAAACTACCTTGCCAGGGCACTTGAGGCATTCGCAGGGAGCGTTGCACATTTTCAATTAGTTTTCTGTTCACGTAACTCTCCTGACAAACGATATATATATATATCTATATATAAATCTATATGGATATTTTGTATTTGGTTATATATTAAATATAGATGTATATATAAACCGATTTGAACGATCCGTTGAGAGCCAAAACAAAATAACAACTGAAATGCACAGCGCTCACAAGTCAAGTTGTAGGCGTCAGGCGTGAAAAGCTTTAATCATATCGGGGCACAATAAACTGAAACACACACAGAGTTGGCTGATAAGCAGGTATCGGTTAATCAGTGCCCAGCCTAATGGAAAAAGCTTCCCGATGCGGTAGAACTCGTTATTCGTGAACTTGTGAGGTTGGTTGCACCCAAACCTTTGTGGACGGTATATTCGCGAACCGTTAAATTGGCAGCGTCATCTAAGAATATGAAAGACGGGCTACTGGCCGTACGCAGGAACTTTGTTAGGCCGAATATGGCCAGGCTCCCAGTTGTACAGAGGATAACCAATAACCAGATCACTGGACTAAAAACCAGCACAACGAGTCCCTCGACAATTCTGTAAATACAAATCGGTTTGATTATGATATTTGAGTTCCGGATGGAGTTCAGCTCACTCAATGCAAAAAAAACCAAAACTTCGTGCCAGCAGAAACGATGTATCCAGAATACAACGCCGCAGGCACATTGCAGTTATAGCAATTGCTATTTAGGAAATAAATATCCAAAAAACGAGGAGTACCAGAAATTTGTAAATTACATTTTTGAAAATTTCGTCTGATTAATGTGGCATAGAAAAACTTTTTATCAAAATGACAAAACTTTTGGAAATACAACAAACCAATTGCGATGATTAATTCGATTCAGCCATGGCCGATAAGACGTAATAGATTGGTAGATGAGTACATAAACATTGAAATATTCTATTTAGAGATTGCTATGCACACACATATATTATTTGTGTAATTGTGTAAATATGCAGCACAAGTGGTCTAATGAGCGTCAAAAACTTTGAAGTGTAATTCAAATTGCTGTCGATTAGATACGAGGCTCATATAAATCAGGTGCAGTCTATAATAGCTATGAAAAAAGCACAGCTATTAGGTCAGTACTCATGCCACAAAGTGTTTGGCTGGTTCTTCAGCTAGGCACAATTGAAAATTCCAAGCTTAAGGCAACATGATAAGAGCTTTTTCGATAGCAACCTGAGTTATGATAACAAAGATATAACAAATCATGATAGAATTTATAGCTGTTTTATAAGAACACATATATATTGCTCTATGGGCAAATCAAAAGGTTTTTAAGTGCTTTAAAATAGAGCTAAGAATTTGATTTGATTGTTTTATTGTTTTATTGAAGTTAAATTAAATATATAGAAAATATATAAATTATAAAATATATTTAACTCTCACAAAATTAATTTATGACATTGCGAAGCGATATTTAAATTAGTCTAAATATAAACATACATAAATATCTCACTTCTGGCCTAAAGGCTTTCGGCTTGCACTCTGTAAATGACATTATAATTTAAAAATAATTATAAATTATATAAAAACCTATTTATACATATACAGCTGGCTTATCTGCAATAAATTAAAAATTTAATAGATACCCTGTGAATAGTGATAATGCCAATTGCAATGAGTCAGTGTCAATTCATGAAAAATTTCCGTATCTTAAAATACGTAAACAACATTGTTTTAACAATCAGCATAGCACCGATGACTTAATACTCTACACTAAGAACACATTTCTTCGAATTCGAATTAAATAACAAGCTACAAATTTGATGATCAGACTAGAGTATGTTGTTCGCTTGCCAAATAGTTGCTTAATCTTAAACGTCTTTATCAGATCATGTTGGCTACAAATTGTCTCTTGCCTCGGTGAACATATAGAGTCTGATCTATTTATACAGCTATTACAAATTTGATATTGGGATACAGACGTTTTTTATTGGCAATTTGTCGAAATTGCCGGCGCAACTGACTTATTGAATTGGCCGGCTGACACACGATATGCCAAATGCTGAGCTAGACAAATTTGACGAATTTCTTAAACTGCCTTGACTTGGCCAATTTCCATTTGGCCATTTGCATTTGTATTTCCATTTACAACGTAAGCAGTTGTTGTTCTGGGCGGGCCTGCTTAGCATAGTTCCAGTTGCAGTCCGCTCGCTAAACAATGGACACACAAGTGCGGCTCCGTCTTTACTTAATACTCTGTGTGCTGTTTCAAACGGGTTGCTGTACAGGCTGGTCAATGTCGGAGGCGGGTCTCAACGACTCCAGCTACAATGTGCGTCACTTGTCCACACACTTTGCGCGCGTCTTTCTCAGCATAAGCGTGGAACACAATGATTTTCCTACACTGATCGAGGCACAGTGGCCCGTCTCCTATTTACCCATGCGCACGGCCATCTATCCCAACAGCGAAGTCCACGCTAGCAGAGGACAGCCCGAGTCGGACTGCACGCGTTTGCAACAAGCTCATTGGTCCCAGGTGGATAGCCTAAGCCGTCTGTGGGTCATGGACGTAGGCTGGCCCAACAGCGAGTGTCCACCCAAGCTGTTCGTCTTCGATTTGATAAGGAACAATGCCGAATTGCTACGCATCGATTGTGGCCAGCACATTGACAGCAACGACACACAGAGCCTGGTCGTACAGCTGGGACCCAAGCCAAGCAACTGCGAACTGGAACGTCATATCTTTTTTATATCGGACAGTCAACCGCATATCGTGGCCTATGATATACTCGAGCAAACCTGGCATCGACGTGAACTAAAAAGCAACAAATATGAAAATATGAGTCAAGTGTTTCCCATTAAGCCAATTGACTTTACCTTTGGACTGCAGGGCGAGCTGATCGTCTCCGATGAAGATGGTGTGCTCTACAGCTCTAGCAAAAGACTGCAACTGATGAGCTCCACACCCGCATCCAACTCCAACTCAAACTCGCTGCACATACAACTAACGCGGCTGGGCAACTTGTTGGGACCCAGTCGAAGCATGATCATGGACTACTTTGGAGCATTGTTCTATGTGATGCCCAAATTCGGTGCAGTTGTGCGTTGTGCACAGTTGGCAAATTTAACCGCCGAGGGCAATGAGATTATATATTTAACTTCCAAAAATATACAGCAAATATTCTTTGGCATAGATGGTGCTGTCTGGGTGCTAAGTGATCGTGTGTTAAGGCCGCAGGATATATGTTACCCAGGCATATGAAACTAACTTCTATTTAAATTAGATCAATCATAAAAGTGAATTAAACTAACGGCATTTGCTCAGCTGTTTAGTGTCCGAGAATGTGATTATTATCGATTGCTGACCTGTCAGACAATAAATATCGATAGCAATATTAAATGATGCATAACTATTTCTGATTCGATTTATTTGTGTGTCAGCATATTGTGTATATTTTGTTTTAAATTTTGTTTTGGTTTATATCGTTATTGCCTATTAACATAATTTTATATTAGCGGCATATTCGTAGCTAGTAATAAGTTAATTGGTAACAGTTTGCTTATTTAGATAACCCATTAAAGCCTGCAAACGTTTCTTAATGTTCTTCTGATCGTCAAGCGTACAGCCGAGAAGAGCACTTTCAAATTTCTTATCGATAGGCCCCACATCCGCTTCATGCACCGTACCCATACGTCCATTCGGATCCATTGTGCTGCTGCAACAGGCATTTAAATACAGCTGACAACGTTGCCGTCCAATAACTGGATCACCCATTTTGATCATTATATCAATTAAGGCATTAATCTGACTAAGCGAATCTTCCTGTGACGCGTCCCTCACGGTGCGCACATTCAGTTCCACAGTGGCAAGGCGCGAACTAACGCGCTGAATATACAAAATGATCTCTTCACGCTCGCCTATAAGCACAAGATGAATTATGTGATTATTGATCCCACTCAATCCTCAATTAAGTACTTACCCTCGCTCATGTTTTGCAGTAATTCGTTGCTCTTGATGAGATCCATGGACATTAGGAGATAGTCTTTCTTCTCCTGTAAATTCAGCGCATCTTTGCGAAACTTCTCCACGCGCATATCCAATTGATCTAGTATTGTAACGAATCTATAAATAGACATAATATTAATATCTACATAATTTTACACATAATTATATTTATGGTTTACCGCTCGTTTGCATTGAAAGGTCTACCCAATGTTGATTAGATGTTTTTGTTTTTGTTGTTGGTTATATGAAAAGAGAGAAGCAAAGTTGTTGTTAAATGGCTAGACTGTCAGCTTATAGAGAAACTTAATGATACTTATCGAGGCACTCACACAAAGCTCTTATTGGTCATTGTGTGGGCGACAATCGAATTCAAATTTGGTCTACCACCACTCTTATATATATTAATATTATTATAAGGCATTAACAAATATGCATACAAATAAAAATAAAAAAAATAATAAATTATTATGACATTCTACATAAGCTGACTAAACATAAGGTAGCAGCGAGAAAATTTACGGTAGATAACAACAAAATACGACAAAAAATAAAAAATCAAATTTTGTAAATTTAAATATTTAAATCGAGGGTTGCTGTTGTTGTTGTTTTGACTAGAAGTAGTTTTTTTTTTATGTAGTTTGGAATAACAACCTGTCCAGCGCTCTACTGTCGTCGACCAGTCCTCCATAGGAGTTGTTGCCGCCGCCGCTGGAAACGCCCAAGGATGTGGATGCCGCTGCCGCATCCGCATGCAAACCTTGCAAATAATCAAAATTCATTGATGATTCCGAATGGTAAACGTGCGATGATAATGCTCCGCTGTTGCTGTTATTGTGATGATTCTCGATGTCGTTGTTGTGGTGCTCCTGCATGCCAAGCGCAATGGGAGCATCAATATCCATATCCTGCGGCTGATCCAGTGTGCCACTGAAAACTGCTTTAGTCGCCCGGCTACAATGCCAGAGCGAACTGCACCGGGAACCAACTCAAAAGCTGTTCGATGATATTCTAGCCTTCCTTCACTCTCTCTCCCCCTCTCACTTTGACTCTCTCGCTGTTACAGTTTGAGAGTTCGCGCCTTTTCAGCAAAATTTGGCCTTCTGGCTATTTTTTGGAATGTATTAAGCTTTTTTTTATTATTTTTTTCGTGTGTGTGGGTTGTTGTAGCTGTTGTTCTTGTTGATGTTATTTCGGCTTCTTATATTGCTTATACGATAGCCACACACACACACGCACGCAAGACGCACATGCACGCACGCATACACATACACTCACCAGCTGCTGCAAGAAGAGAGCAAAGGGAATGTTTATTAAGTAAGTTTTAATTACCTATCGATTTGCAAGTTGCTAATATATGCGCCTGGCCATTCAGGTGAGTGGGCATATTTCTCGTCGTCTTCATCTTCATCATTATCGGTGTCATAACTCATATTGGGCTGGGTGGACAGCTGCGGTTCATCGCAGCGTCGACGTTTTCGAAATATTCCTAACAAATTCTCTAGCATATTTCTACTATTTTTACGTACACACAAGCACACACAGACAAACAAGTAAACAACTAAAATTAACACTGACTTTGAATTGAATTAATTTGTTTGTCGCAATTCAATGGCTAAATAGATGTTTGTAGAACTTTCCAGCAGCATCGGGGACAGGGCGCTCTGAAATTCGTCGAAGAATAATGGCTAAAAGAATTTACCTGTAGCTGTTAGCTGTTAACTGTTACCAAGTAAACTACTCAATTTTATTGTATTGATTTGGCTTCGTAGCGATATTTTCAATAAATATAACTTCGATTCTGTTTACTTTGTTGCTTGCCGTAAATCTTGTATGCTGAGTTTTCGTAAGTACATGTTTAGGCCATGTTTCTTTGATTTGAGATAACTCGTTACTGCTTGGTGTTATTACTCATTTATTTTCTTTTTCTTATTTTAATGCGCTGCACAATTTAACATTATTTTATTTTAACAAAAAATTCGTGTAAACAGTGGCCAGGTTAAAAACAGTGTGACCGTGCCATCGAATGTTCTGGTATTTTTATGACATGACATCACGACCAATATTAATCGACTAGACAGGTCTGATACTTAGTATCGATTAATCTGTACCAATACGATCACCCTTTTGTGTTCGATATCGACTTATGAGCTAATGACGCGGAAAATTCAAATCTCGCACACACAGCGCCGTGCGTGACCATTGACAAGTCTTAGTTATCACATCGAAAAAGTAGTAAAACGGGCACTGTTGCAACGTAGCATGACCTTTGACACAATATATGAAGAATTCACAACGCTGCATATGCGGATACAGATGCTGTCCATAAGCAGGACAATGCAATAGTTCACTCGTAATATCACTTGGTGGCCTCGAAGGCACTATATCCTCGTCCAAGGTACATCTCGCCCTCTCCGGCAGATCACATTTGGCTGTCACGGCATTCCAATGCAACTCCTGACTGCACTCTTGAAGTATCGCCTGTCCATAGTAACAAATATAATAGCTATTGCAACTAGCCGAGCTGCCCACATAGACAATGTGATCATTGCCCGCCTGCGGTGTTAAGGTGGCACAATAGTTAGCCGCGTCTGTGATCATGCTATTGAGATTATGCTCATTATTTCCAGGCTTAACAGCAATATCCTCGTTTGTCTTATTCTGGCATCTAGCATTGTCGGCCGTATCACAAATCTTGTTCTGCTTATTGTAATACATATTTGACGGACACGAGGCAAGCACCGCATCTCCATTATCCTGGCAGAGATAGAACATTCGACAGTCATCCGGATGCTCCACAAAGCTGCCACTCGCCTGATTCCTGCACATGCCCACAGAACTCTGTCTTATGCTCACCGAATTGGTGGGCTTGCGTATGCTCCAATGCCTGCGCGCTGCCGATAAACACGATAGAAGCAACAGCAACAGCAACTTGTCTATGGGCAAAGTAAGGAAAGTTTATTTAGGTATTCGAGTGGTGGTAGTAGAAGGTGCAGGATCAACCTAATACTTTGCTGATACACTCCATAGCTTTTGTTTAATGTGTGTCAGGCTTCTGTAGACCGCAATTTTATTCTAATTTCGTAATGCGGCAAGAACTTGGCATATATTGCGAGCGCATAGCATCAATATCAGAAAATTAAAATTTTTCAATATCGTGTCAACGTGTCGATAAGGCCTTCAACCAAAACATTTTCTGCCGGCACAAAAATATTTCTGCACTATTTTTTGCCACACAATCGATCGACATATCGATTCAAAGCACCAACAGAAGCGAAGCACTGCGACGCAGCACGTTATTAATTTTACAAATGTCGATCCGAGAAGACAGCAATACAATACAGATATCAACTAGAGATTAGCTGCCGTCGATTGGGTCTTGCTACAGTAAAACTTCAATTAATTATGTTGATGTGTTGCTGCTGCTGCTGCTGCTGCTGTTACTGCTGCGGTTGCTGCTGCTGCTGCTGCTGTTGCTGTTGCTGTTGTTGCAAGAAAGACAACACATGATTGTCCTTGGGTTAGACAGCTGCCATATCGGTCAATCGAGGTTTTATCTTTATATAGCAGAACATACAGATAGCTGTCCCATTTCCAATATCTGAATTTCCTACACGCAATGACTCAACTCAATTGCCGTTGATAAAAATACGGATGAGCGACCTTGAACGAACCCGTGATAAACTCAACGGCGTCTGCGATGGCGAAATGCCAGGTGATTTTACCTGAAGTTAAGCAAAGATTTCTAGCAAGAGCTTTGAAGTGATCTCCCAATAACATGCTACATAAACCAGCTGGGAATTTCCTTTGAACTAATTGAACTTATCTGAGGAAATTCGTGTCAACTAATTGAACATAGCTGTTCAAGGCTTTAGCTTCACGTTAAGATCTACCAAAAGCAGAGAACTGATCTTGCCCTAGCAATAGTAGCTACAAGCTTGATATAGCTATAAGAGAAATGTAGTTTAAATGAATTGCAAATATTTAAGCAACTGCTATAAATATATATAGAAAAGAGCTGAACTTTCTTCCAGAAGCAAAGTGATCTTTCGATTCCTTCTTGGCAAGCATAAACAATAGCTGTACATATATATGCTATATAAATAAGGTATTCGAAAGTTCTCTTAAATTCATTGTGAATACCTTATCTTGTTTTTTACATGAAGGAGTAGAAAAACAAGTGATCATTCTATAAAAAGATATTACCTAAGGAACGGAAGTGATCTTTATTAATGGAAGCTATGAATTATCTTATCGTAAGGGTATTTGAAGTACATTTCGAGAACTTTCAATAGGCAGAGAAGTGATATTCCATAGGTATCATGAGAGCACGAAATATAGGAAAGAAATTGGATCTTTTATGTCAAATCTAACATTGATCGTAAAAAAGATCGAGATCTTATATATATAGATATATATGTGAAATATCAGCTTAAAAAGAACAAATGATCTTTCAATTGAAAATAAGAGCTGAAGAGATTTTCAGCCAAGTTAAGCAAAACTGGAATGCTTTGTCCTCGAAATTATTAACTCGAAATTTGTTGTAAAAATTGTTTATTAAAATTAAATGAGTTTAGCTTAAAAATTAGACCAAGAGACGTTGGCGTCCAAAGCATTTGGCCTGGGCCATCGCCACGCAGGAGCGCTTCTGATAGTCCCAGCCGTAGAAGAAGGGGCACTGCTGCAGCATCAGGAAGCCGTTGCGGCAATAGTAGAAGTAATTGCAGTTGTCCGGGTGCGGATAGATGTCCACCGTGTGCTGCTTGCACTGCTCGCGCACGTTGATCGTGGAGCGCTAACAGAGGAAGAAGAAGAAGAAGTAGTTATAGTAGCTACAGTGCTGGAGTCTTGCCACACTCACCATGCAATTGACCACCTCTGCCTTGTCGCACTTGGCCGTCGCCACATTGAAGTGCAGCATGGCAGCACAGGTCATGGGCAAAGGCTTGCCGTGATAGCAAATGAAGTACTCCGTGCAGGACTTGTCGTGGGCCAGCAGCACAATCTGATGGGTGTTATCGGCAGCTGGGCATTCGCTGGCCAGCAAGGTGACGACCTTTTGGCTGTTCACACTGATCGCAGTTGTGGGCTGCAGCGCGGCGTCTGTCACTGTTTCCGTGCTCACCTGGCTGGCTGTCGAGGCTGCAGTCACTGTTTGCGTGACTGTCACGTCCGTGACTGGCAATTCGGTGACTGCGATCTGCAGCACCTCGTTCGTCTGCAGCGGCAAGCCCGTGCGACAGTCCACGTCCAGCATGGGCTCACACATGGCCAGCTGGCCGTTGAAGTAATCATTCTCCTCGGGGCACTCGCCCTCGAACGAGTCCTCGCCGCTGCAGTAGATGAAGTGCGTGCAGCTCTTGTTGGAGGCAATGAAATTGTTGTTGTTGCTGTCGTTGCACTCCTCAAAGATGTCCGCAGAGGCAAGCCGGGGCAGGGCAACTGCAGCCAGCAGCAGAAGGTGCAACCGATGTGGCATGATGATGCTGAAGATGCCGCTCTGCACTGAGAGCTAGCCAAGGGTAGACTAAACGCAGCCGTTGCCATGGGAAGCGATTTTAAAGTGAAACCCAAACAGAAAAGCGAGGCTTATCAGAAACTCATTTACGCTGCGCGCTTGTCATGCAAAAAACTGAATGTTTTTATTACTCTTACAATTGATAAGACTTTGAGCTAATGCATTGGCCCTGGGCCTCGTTGAAATGGAAGTGCTGCGGGCACTGCTGCAGCAGCAGATAGCCGGCCAAGCACTGATAATAATAGTTATCGTTGGCTGGATAAGGATAGACGCCATTGCGACCGCTGCTCTTGCAGATCGCCTGCAGGTTGCCAGCAGTGGTGCTGCTAGTGGTGGTGCTAGTGGTGGTGCTGTCCGTGGACGAGTTGCTGCTGCTGGCTGTAGGCTGCTCTTCTGACGGAGTCGTTAGCTCCGTCGCAGTCGTTGCCTTCGTTGTCGTCGTCGTCGTCGTCGTCGTCTCCTCCTGCTGCTCCTCCTGCTCTTGGCCATAGCAATTCACTGGCTCGCTGCAGTCATCGTTGCAGTAGTAGGAATCGTCGCCATTGCAGTAGACATACTCGCTGCACTCCAAGTTGGGATTGGGTATGCGGTTTATGATGACGCCCTCGCACTCCATGAGAAACGCCGCCTGCCCCAGCTCCATGGGCAACAGGCAGCTCAATGCCAATAGAAGCTGCAACATGAAAATCAATTCGTTTCGAAACTGTGAGCCAGCCGAGCTGGCAGCGTCTGCTTTATAGGCGCAAGTACTTAGATAAGGTGATTAGCTCACAGTTTTATTGTTATTATTGGTAATTGTTAATTAAAAAATGACAATTATTGCTGGCAAGAAATGAAAGTCTTAATTGGTACATGTTCGCGGCAGCTGATCTGCAATGCGTCCACTGCACGTGCCGAGCTGCTCGTTGAAGGCGTAGCCAATGGGACACTGTTCGACAATCAGAAAGCCGTCCACGCAGTAGTAGTAGTAATTGCAATTACCTGGATACAGGTATTTCTTAGTGACGCCTCGCCGGCACAGGCCACGCACATCAGTCCCTGGCGCTGCAGTGCTGCCGCTCGAGCTGCTGTTGCTGCTCTCCGTGGCCGTTGTTGTTTCCGCCGCTGCTGGTGGTGTCGACGGGTTCAGCGTGCTCGAGTTCTGCCCGCCACAGCTGTACTCCAGGTCACACGAATTCTCCCTGTCGCAAAACTGTGAGCTGTCCTCATCGCAGTAGATCAAGCTGTAGTTGCAGTTGGCGCGAGTGTTGTTAATGTAGCTGCCGCTGGCGATGCCGTCGCATTCCGGAAACTCGTCCGTTGCGGCGATGCGGCAAATGCTGTCGCCGCTCAGCCATAGGGCAACGGCAGCGACGATCAGCAAACGGATGTCAATGCCTAAAGATTTTCTCATTGTGTGCGACAACTCCACCGCTCAGCTCAGCCCTTTATATATTGGCCCATCAACGATTGTCGGCTAAATTAGTTGTATTTAATTAGACGAGTCATGTTTCAACAACTTATCAATGGAATTCTGAACGCTTATCAACTAAAAAGTTTCGGTATGTAAGCCTATATGTGTATGTACGTCTTGGTCTCTTACACTGCGCAACAGGTTTTAAGATGCTGAGAGGATTTTCGCTGTCAATTTAAAAAAAAGCTAAAAATAGAAGTCAAAACTTTAAGCTGATGCAGCCAGCAGCTAGCCTAGTTCGAGTAGTTGCTTAAAGATTTTTCATAGAGTTTTCGAGTTTTGATAAAAGTTTTTGAAGAAAGTTTTGAAAATTTAAAAATTTTGAAGAGAACATTTTCAATTTATCGAAAAGCATTCGCTAAAGTCTACAGTCATTTGAGTTTAAAACTTCGAAATTTTGGACAAAAATGCAAAAAAAATTTCAACAATTTCAAAAAATTTCAAAATATACAAAAAAATTTTCAAAAATTACAAAAAATTTCAAAATTTTTGAATAATTCGAAAATTTAAAAAATTTTTTGATAATTTCGAAAATTTGGAAAAATTTTTGATAATTTCGAAAATTTGGAAAAAATTTCGAAAATTTTTAGATCTGGAAAATTTTTGAAATTTTTTTTTAAATTTTAAAAATTTGAAAAAAATTGGAAAAATTTGAAAAAAAAATGGACAAATTTTGAAAATTTTGAATATTTCAAAAAATTTCTAATATATCAAAAAGTTGAAAAATTTGAAAAACCTGGAAAATTTGTTAAAGTTTCGAAAATCCTTGAACATTCATAAAACTTGTTCGTGCCAGCAAGTTTATCTCTGTGGAACAGTGTAATTGTTTGTCATTTTAAGATAAAGTTCTCAGTATCTATGTTGCCTAAGATGCCTAGGGCGCTACGCACGCCGCGCATTGCCGTAGCACTTGGCCACGTTCAGGTGGACGCAGCTGCGTCGCTCGATGTCCCAGCCGTAGTAGAAGGGACACTGCTGCAGCGTCAGGAAGCCCTTGATGCAGTAGTAGAAGTAGCTGCACTTGTCCGGATGCGGAAAGAAGTCCGTCATGTGTGGCAGGCACTTGTGGCTGGCAAACTGATCCAGCTGCAATAGAGACTCGATTAGTCGGTCGCCGGGAGGCAGCCAAAGCTGCTCGAGACTTACGGCGCAGTGGGCATTCTCGGGCAGATCGCACTGCCCCGTCTTGGCATTGAAGTGCAGCTCATTGGTGCACTGCATCTGCATGGCGTGTCCGTGGTAGCACAAGTAGTAGTCCGTGCAGGAGTCGTTGTTGGCCATGAAGATCACCTGGCTGGGATCGTCGGTGTTGGGGCAGCTCGGTTTGACAACGGGCGCCGCCTGCACAATGTCCACCTCTATGGGCGTTTCCATGGTGGGCGGCGTGGGATCTAGTTCGGCGGGCGGTGTTTCCGGCTCATCGGGCTCCTCCTCGGCGTCGGGCTCATCGACTTCGTCCAGAAAGCACTTGACATTCGCCGCATCATCACAAGCGCCCGACTCCGGATCAAAATACTGTCCCGCCTCACAATCGCCCAAGATGGAATCGTCGCCATCGCAATAGACATACGACTGACAGCTCTCCCAGCTGGCGACAAAGCTCTCCGGCTCCGACTCGGAGCACTCCTCGAACACATCGCCCCACGCACAGCCAAGGCAACTGCAGACTACGACGATGCTATACAGCCACGTTCTATGCATCTTCTCTGATTGATCGATCGATCTCAACTCTGTTCGACTAACTGAACTGCGCCTGCAGCAATTGCCCCGATTTTATGCCCAAAACACACTTTGGCCCGAACATGCATTTCGTTTTAGTCTAATTGAATGCTCTGCTATCAGCATGGCCTCAAAAATCACCAAATCAGAAATCAGAAATCATATTGCATGAATCAATCGCTATCTATATCATATTATGTCATCTGCCAGGGAGGAGGGTGGATGGGTCCACACAGACTCTTCCAGTCGAAACACTCTCCGTTGTTTACATAAGTCCAAGCTTCTTCTTCCTCTTCTTCTTTTTAATTAATATTCAATATATGCCCAGCAAGTGTTTTTGTCCTCTGCTTCGCTTTCGTCTTCGCTGGCCAAAGCCAAAAGCGTGAAAACCAAGAAATCATTGACCTCAACACAGCGCAGCGTTTTGGCCGTATTTTGCTTATGTCGGTAGCCCGAAGACCAAAACGTGCCCCAACTTATATATGTACATATCTAAAGACAAACAATATATGATGAAATATACCTCGGTGCAGGTGCCTCGAGGGCTATTACGTTTCTGTGAGCGCTTTAAGCCCTTAAGATAGTTAACAGCGGTTCGGTTTATGGTTTGCAGCACTTTTCTAAGACAGCAAAAGATTTCTGTCTTCATATTAATTTCGCTTGATTGGGTTTGATTAGTTTAAGCCTGACTTGAACCGGTTCAGCCTAGACTTCAGGCGTTTCACAAATATTCAGCGCTCAATCGTCTCAGCTCTTTGGGAAATGCTGTTAATAAATTTGTAAAATAAAATAAAATAAATTTGTAAAATTAAGCTCCTAGCTCAAACCGGTTTGAAAGCTCCAAGAAAGCTTCGCTAGCTAAACAATATCAAGAGCTCAACTGATTCAAGTCTAAGTTAATTTTACGTAAGCTTTCAGTTTTTATAGATTTTTTTTATAAATTTGAATTTCTATTTTGAACCGGTTCAATTGGGATTTTGTACCATATTTTCGAGAATATTCAGAGCTAAGCCAAATAATCTTAGCTGCCATTCGGAAACAAGTAGCTTTAAGCATTAAGTTTCTAACTTGGTTTATATTTAAATAAAATAAAATTTTGAGCTCGAACCGGTTTACTCAGTGTTTCAATAGAATTCGATTGCTAGAGCTAGAGCTTAGCAGAACATGAACTGCTAAAGAAAACTGTGAAACGGTTCAAGTTTCAGTTTCGTCTGCCTTAAGCTAGGCTTCAGCTTGATTTAAACCGGTTCACACTGCACTTGAGCCTAGAAAACTGTGAACCGGTTCAGGTATATTTAGTACCTTTAAAGCTAAATTCAAGTTTCACTTCACATTGTTTTATAAATTGGTTCACATCGATTTCCTCCTGCCAAAGAGCATCTGGAATTCGGTCAGCTGGGATCGATCTTTCCTGCTGTTCCCGCTATTCGCTGTGATATAAATCACACAATTATGTGAATAGCTTTTTTTTGCACCATCATGGGAGCAGGCCAAATACCATTCGAGTGGCTGGCTGGCTTTCAATACCCTGCAAGTGGGCCGCATAAGAGGTATATGAGCGTTATGTAAATGAGCACAGAGCGTACGAAAGGCTGGCTGAGAATCTTGCTGAGTTTGTCGTAAACAAAGTCTAAGACTTGAATTAAATGGAAGAGCTTTCACATCTACAAATGGAATGCGCTCTGCCAAGATCTTAAGCATACGATCTATTGGAGCTGGTCAGGGTATGGCTTAGTCGCGCTCATCCCACTCGGTGCATTTCTCTTTATTTTATTTTTGATTTCATTCTAAATTTTGCACAAAATCTAATTTATTGTCAAGCATTTGGCCAATACGATAAGACAAGAGTGTCTGCCTGCCAGGCACTAGTTGATCGCTGGCTCTGGCTGACTTTATCACCTTTGTGCACCTGTAAGGCAAACAGAAATTAAAAATGAGGGGGGTGGGGTAAGGCCTTTTGTGTGTGTATTGCACGTGTAGAGATATTTGTTGAAACAAGTGCGAACGCAACCAATTTTGTTAATAGATCAACGATATATGAATATATATAACTATATATCTGTGTGTGTGTTTACTTTTTATAAAATGCATTGACAGATCGGACAAAAGACACGATCGAGCCAACACAAAAGGCTGATCAATGCATGCGCTTTGTGGACTCAGTTGTAAAAGTCGACGAAGTCGAAGTCGGCAAAATGTCTACCGAGATCTGTTTACACGCACACACACAGGTACCAGGCGTGTCTGTGTGCCATAGATGGCTCGATCAGTGAACTGCATGTTTAATTTACAATACACATGTACATTTATTTACAAGCATGTGTTAATTTCATTGTACAGCTTGGACAAGACATTTATATTAAGACTGAAAACAAGTGTGCGAGTGTGTGTGTGTGTGTGCGTGTGTATCATATATCCATATATATATATATCTATATATATAGATTACCTGGCTGTTGACAATGACTATGACTTTAGAGCGAGTCCTGAGGGAGCCGAATACAAAATGTCATTGTGTTCATAGTGAAGTCATTTCTTATTATTGAATTTATTAACAAAAGATCGGGAAGCAGAACGAATCGTCCGGCAAATAGACGAAGATTAAATACACTCTAAACAGCTACACTCTAAACATCAAATGAATTCGGATAAATAAGCAAGAGTAGACGAAGATTAAATACCCTATTATCTAATAGCTGAATTGACTTTTCATATCACAAATACGTGCAAAGAGAAGAATTTGAAATTAACTGGAATTTCTTTGGCAAAAGATCGGCAAGAGCTGATCGCTATGTTAAATGGATGTAGATCGAAACCCGCGCTATCTAAATGATAGATAGGGTATATGCAAATGCTATTTAAATAATGGCTAGATAGATGTGAAATAACAAATAAATAGAAGAAGCTCATATACCTATATACAGAATGTAAGCGGGTTTATATCGGACTAAGATGGAATGCCCAACTATCTAGATGATAAATAGCTTAAATAGACTCTATATGCATACGCATTTTTATATAAAAAATATAGTTAGCAAACAGACATATATGGAGTAAAATGTAGAATATTTAAATTTGAATAAATGTTAAAAAATTAATAATATTTAAATAATAAATTTTATTTTTTTTTTAACCACAGATAATTTAAATATTGAAGATCTAAGATCTAAGTTGATGAATGCTCTAATAAATTGCTAGTAAAATTGTTGTCATAGGATTATCGGTTAAGATTAGATAAACAAAGAAAAAGAAGAAATTCAAAATGTAATTGAGTCTATTATTATATAAAGTTAAACAAAAAAAGATCACAAAGTAAACAGTTAAAAAAGGAGGATCAAACACGCTCTGCGGATGGTAAACCAGGCATGGAGAGAAGAAGAAGAAGAGAGCTGATTACTCTATGATATAATGAGTTTTATCTATAAATGATGCCCGTACAAACTCATGACCCGCATTTTAGCCCCATCCAGGGTTGCTCGAAGACCCTTTGGAAGCATGTCAGTTGGTCAGATGAAGCGCGATATAAGTTTAGGTCAAGGTAAGGAGATGTATATGGCAGAGTTTCCTAAGAGTAGGGTAGAATTTTGAATATTATATTATGCCAATTTTTAATATTATATTATGTGTTGGTATTAGTGCGAATAACAGGCTTTAGACTCACTGCACACAATGTGATAATGACGAAACTATGTCAAATTTCTAAGATTCAAATGTTGTTTATGAATTTCTTTTGTGTCAAATTGAGATAAAGTCTCGAATCTTTATGAAGCTCTCTGCTTAGTAGGCCAAAGCAATGTCTTTTATTATTGTTTTTGTTTGGTAAGTTTTTCCTTTGCGATCGTGATCGTAGGTGTAGCTAAGCGAAGATAAACATGTGTAGATACAAACATATTTATAGCTGGCTGACATATGTTTTTTCTTTTTATTCTTTAATATCATCAAATATTACAAAAAAAAAAAAAAAAAGGAAAGAAAGAAAGAAAAGAAAAAGCTGCAAACACAGCTGTTTTTCAATGCAACTAATTATAGGCATTAAACAACAAAAGGCATTGTTGAAACGAAATTCAATTTCAATTTCAATTTCAGAGCTCGCAACAAAGTCTCAAGAAGTATGAAAACTAGATAGGTTTATCAGCTAAGTGGGCGCTAGGCGCATTATCTGTGCGCGCCGGCTTGATCTATGGCTTCCTCAATATGTTTTGCCAGCTAATGAGGTTTTTCCTGGGAAAACCATTTGCGACCCGCTGTGTTTAGCTAATGACGGAAGGAAGCGAAAGTAACTGATTTACGATTCTGTCCTGCGAACCTTCCTTGGGCCTCATTAGCTGCAGTTCGCCCGCCAGATATGAAATTCATATCATAATTATAATTAAGAACTAAATCATATCAGCTGAGCACAAACAATTGAAGAAAAGCAATTTCTTATAGATCAAAAAATTGTTTCTTTTTTTTTCCTAACTATCATCAAGGAAGTCATTAAATTATCACTTTATTTTTTTGGCACTAAAATCTAATCTAAATTATATTTTATTTATTTAAGTTTTGTTTTTATTTGGTTTTTTGCTAAATAAGTGAAGTACAGATTAAAATGTTGCTGCAGATAAACAACAGGCGAATCGCAGTAAGTAGCAGACCAACAGACACCGACAGCAACACCTAAATTACAATAACAACAGCAACAACAAAGCCAACGGCAGCAGCAACAAATACTATACGTACGTAATGTATCTTGTTTTCCAGTGAAACCCAAAGACACAAACATACACAAATACACACGCACACACTTTTATACACACCCATATATCTGCGGCTTTTTGTTGTGATTCACAAATCAAATAATATAAAATAATAATAAAAAGACTTGGGCGCTGCGCGAAAAATATTTGTGCCAACCAAAGAGTGTGTCTCTCGCACGCACACACACAGCCACACGCCCTCTCTTTTTATGCATGGCTATATATACTATGTAACTGTAAAATCCACTTGAAGCGCCAGCGCACGATCAGCAAATTGAGAAGAGAGCGCGCGCCCGAGCGCACAAAGAGAGTTAGATTGCTAGAGTGAGAGAGAGGGCGAGCGAATGGAACGCAAAGAGCGCAAAAACCATTTGATGTGTTTTTGCTGTTGTTTTTGGTTTTCGATTTGCTTTTTTAGGGGCGGTGTTGGGCCCCTGGCCGGGTTCGGGTTCGGTTCGGCCTGGCAGCTATGCGGGTTCAAATGCGGCCAGCATGACGAATTATTACACACACACACACACATACCTACACGTATTTGCAGCCACAAATGAAATTATACATACACACGCAAACAATGCACATTCTCAATGATTCGCGTCTGCATGTACTTAGCTGTGTGAGCATGTGTGTGTGTACATTAAATATTAAAAGATCTCTGGGGCGGCTGGCGTCTTGCCCGAGCTATCAAAGCTCATTGATCTGGGCTAACGACGACGCTCGGTTTGTGCGCTGCGCCTGCCTAGGCACCAGGCACTATTTGAGACTTTCCCGTACCCGGGACAGGGGGACTTTTTAATTTTTGTTTTTTTTTTTTTTTTTTTTTTTTTATTTTCTCGTGCGATAATCACGAACAGGCGACCGGTTTTAGCCTGTAAGCCTGGCCAACAATTCGATATACATATGGGGTTTAGCTTTGTTCAAATACATCTGAAATTTGTAGCCAAAGCTCTCAATATGTAAGTATGTATGTGCACATGTACATATGTAAACATGTGTGTGTGTGTGTGTGTGTGTGTGCATATGTGTATTGAGGCTCTGCCTCTCCATATGTATTACACAAGCATTTGTGAAAACGTCGTCGCCATCGTCGTCGTCATCATCGCTGTATCTGTGCCTGGCTTTAAACCGGATCTTTGGTTTGAAAGTACATTCACTTTATGCCACTGCTGCTGCTGTTGCTGTTGCTGCTGCTGCTGCTGCTGCTGCTAACGCTGACGTCGCTGCAGCCGGGCCCAGGCAAACAGCCTTCAAATGACAAAAGCTAGCCAACTCACTATGGCTTGGCTTGGCTAACTGGCTGGCTTGGCCAGCTAGACATCGGCTGCACATGCGCATAGTTCAAATAACTTGGTCAAGTTGACAAGATCAGCAGCAGCAGTCGCAGCCGCAGCCGCCGCTGCAGTCGACGTCGTCTTCGTAGTCGCAGCAGCCATAGCGCAAAGTGTTACCAAGCGGCAGCGACGAAGCCGGCCACATAACTAGAGAGCTGCAGAGTGCGCTAGAGCATGAGGGGGGAAACCAAATCAAAGACCAACAACAACAACAAAGAGTCTATAATAAAAAAAACAGGTTAACAAATGTTGCCGCAACAGCCAACAGCAGCAGCAGCAGCAGCAGCTACAGTGGCAGCTAACGTCAACGTCGGAAGAAACTTGTTTTGTTTTTTCCTATAAGTCTTGCCTTGACGTCAAAGCCGGCTTACGACGACGACGACGACGACGACGGCATCGAGCGACGCCTGCTTACATTCACTTTACAATGAGCAAAGAGCGTGAAAGTTAAATTAAGAGAGCAGCGAGCCAGGCAAGCCGGCAACCGGCATTGTGAACGCCAACAATGTGAGCGCGGTAGAGGGAGCTAGCGAATGTACGTTAAGTCATTCAAATGCGCTCTTTTGCTTGACTGCGTGTTTGTGTGTGTGGCCCGTCTGTGTTGAGAGAGAGAGCGTATTTACGACGCCGATGACGACGACGTCGACTGCGGCTGCTGCTGGCAGTTCGTTCGCATTCACAAGAATTTCACCGACATTTAGTTTAGTACCGTTTTTGGCTGCAGTCGCACTACGGACAATATTCTAATTGTGCTAACCAATCACATATATATAATATATATATAATTATATATATATATATATATGTGCGTGTATGTTTGTAACTAGAAGCATATACAATTCAATTACAATAGCGGCAACAGTTAATGATATTAACTACACATTTTAAATGTTATTATACATGGCCAACGCCAGCCATATGGAAAACGAAATCAAAATCAAAATCAAAATTGAAATGCAAATGGAAATGGAAATGTGCTGCTGTACCAAACACAAAAATTAAAATCATTAAATCTAAATACATACAAATAAAAATAAATAATTACTAATAACAATTTGCTATGAAAGTCTAGTGAAAATCGAATGTGTTTTGATTAAATCATATAAAATATATAATTACAAAAAAAATCTAAAAACAACAAAAAATTCCCCCTACAAAACGCGTGCAACAAGTTAAATCCAGCTACAAGTTGTAAACCAAGTTAGAACTACACACACACACAGACACAGACGCGTACACAAATACTCGCTCGCTCAATACACACACACACACACACGCATAGACTTTAACAATGTCAAGTGAAAACATTCTTTGGAAGCAACAGGTTTCGCCCTAATAAGTGTTATAAAGAAGCGCGTCCAGAACTGTTGTCGACTTTAGCCAGAAGTCTTTATATGTACATACATATACATATATATAACATAGTTAATGAATTTATCAGTAATACCTACATGCATATATAGTGTATAAATACAAAGCAGAAATTGAGGAAAATAGAAAATAAGATTTTTGTGTGACTGCAACCAGTTGGAACGAAAGTCGAACAAAAAGAAACAGAACCTGAAAAGTTCTTAGAGCGCGAAAAAAGACGAAAGAGCAAAACCTCAATATGGATTCGTTTTACGATGGCGACCTCAAAGATATATGGGACTCCGATTTAGATCCGGTAAGCGCAATACCTAAAGCTTTATCAGCATTACTTATGTTTCATAATCAAATACGATAAGCAAGCGATCTTAAATAATAGTCACATATACAATACATACATACATAAGTATATGTATGTGTGTGTGTGTGTGTGTGTGTGTGAGTACTGCTTGAGTTGTGTACATAACTTTGAACTGTTGCCATAAAAACGCAAACCTCTTGACATCTGGAAGTCCGGCAGTTATGAACTCATAAAATTGCATTAAAAACAAAAATTGTTGAAAGAAAAAACTCTATTAATAAAATTTATGCAACTAGAAAGTGTGCTACCCAGCTGTGAGAATCACATAGAAAGGCGGCCGTTAGAGAAAATGATTATTTGATTTTCGCTTAATCTATTCATCTAATACCAAAATTTTATGCATCTAGAAAACGTGTTAGAAAACGCTGAGAATCACATAGAGAGGCGGACATTGGGGAAGATGAGTTTAAATTGCGTCCAGTTTGTTTTGCCCTTTCCAAATATACAAAACGATCTTCGTGCCTGCATATTAAACAGTCGCTAAGACAGGCCCGACACACACAGAAACCCGTCCAATAAAACAACCTAATAAAACTGTCTCTCTGTTTGTCCAAGTGTCTCTCTGAAGTGCTGAGTTCAGAGTCTTTGACAAGAGTCACCTGAAAAGGCAAATCTAATCGAACTATGATATACGACAGCGCGCGCAGTCCGCTGATCGATACACTATTATTATTTCAATTTGATTTCGAATGAGAACGTGCCAAAAAAAAAAAAAAAAAACAAAGAATGTTACGATATGATATGGGTGGGAAAGGCTAGGCAAGGCAAGGCAAGGCTCCAAGGTTTCTCAAGATATCTCTGTGGAGGCTCTCTTACCTAAGCATCATCACCTTAGTGATTTCTTGTGTTCGAAAAGCAACAACAAGAAGAAGAAAAATATCATTTACATTGGTTGCTGACTGGGAGAGCGGGCGATAAGGGACTAGGTACATAGGTAGCACTATTTCTGCTTTGACGAAAGTGTCTCTGATAATGATAATTGAAGTTTTCCAAGAAATTAAAAACAAAATGTCTAAAGAAATTTATCATTTAGCGAGCAAAAATATCATTTTTACCACATGTAGTTCGAATATAATGAAATGTGTGTGTGTGGGTGTGTGTGTTCTCTGCTCTTCGTTGAGCCTCATTTGTGGAGGCCTGCTTATCGCTGCGGAAACAGTAATGAATACATGTCGCCGGCCGAGGAAGCGTACATTTATGAGTACTACGACTGACTACAAGACTCCAAACCTAAAAGAATCTATTACGGCGCACAGGCACACAGCGAGGGAGAGAGAGAGAGAGATAGAGCGTGTGTGAGAGAGGGCGGGAGCTGAGGCGCTGCAGTGATAAGACGAACTGCTGCTATCAGCTGCCCCAAATGCAAAGTAACTAATGACTTTTTTGTTATTTCTGCTTCTTCCATTCAACTGCACTTTAAACTGACAAAAACGTCCGACCGCGAGTGTCATTAAAGCCGAGAGATAATGCAGCCCAGTCCGAAATAGGCTCATGCTAAAAAATAGCAAGTAAACCTATTTAGCGGGCTTTGAGTGACTAGCTTAATACCTTAAGCCACACATAGAACTGCCAAAAACAGAAAAGGTTTCTAAGAGAAAGAAATTATTTCTTGTTTAAGTTGACCTTAGCAGATTCGTAATGCCAAATTTAATGAGTCTAGCTCTTAAATTGCACGAGATTTGCTAAAAAACCGGATTTTTGAAATCGATAATTATCGATTTGATGATAATTTGAACAGTTGATGATTTAAAGTCAACTTGATGTAAAGGTGAATCTATTTACAGTAGGCTCTTCTTCATAGCTTTTTCTTAGCCTGATCAGGAATATATATCCATATATAGATATACTTGTTACATGCACTTTAACAAAACCAATATACCCCGTTTAGCTATTCGATACAATTGCAGAGCATATAGAGACAATCTAAAACACAAACAAATTCCCGGGGAAAACGCGCGTGCAGTTTTTTCCCGCCGTAAGCAGAACGCCGTAGTAAAGACCCGGGCGCGCGCTCTCAATTACGTCAGAGACTGCAAAATACAAGCACACACACACACACAAATATAGACGTGTGTGTGTGTGTATTAAGTCTAAGGCACAATAAATATTTTTAATATATATTGGCCCATACGGGGCCCCCATTTGAACTTCACTTTTGGCATTATTTCTACAAAATTTTCTATAAAATTTAAATTATCATCGCTACAAGTTTTTTTTCTACTTTTTGGCCAAGGCATATCAAAAATCTTATCACACGCCCATTTTGTAACCGAAAAAAGCAAAAGGAGCCAAGTGTAAGATAAGGCCAGAAATAGTTTTGATTACGAGCAAACAATAAATAAAAAAAATGAGATATATATGTTATATATACATTATACTTACTGGTATTTGTATGGTAAATAAAGCTGCATTGGGGCTTTTCCGCATGTTAAGTGGCAAAAACAAAAAACAAAATCAGTCTAGATAATCCCCTTCGTAGGAATAACTTGGCAATAAAAGTGAAAACAAGAAAAATTAACAGCGAAATCCCAGAAAATTTGTTTTGTGTTTTGTTTTTGCTCTTAACACTTTATGAGATCCGCTCGTCTAGGGTTCATCAGCGCAATCTGTCAATAGTCGGCGAAAGGGAAAAACCCCCTTTGGGGATTATCATTGCTGATTGAAGTGCTCGCTTATCAGAGCTGTCAGTAAGCGATCGTATTATACTATATACGCGAGCACATGCCCATAGAGATAACTTCAAGAATCATTGAATAATTATAAGTATTCTGGAAAATAATTAGCATTTCAGTAATTACGAAAGTTCAGATTGAATGGAAACCAAATTAGAAAATCTTATATCAATAAAACATTACTGAAGGAACTAGCAAAGGGAATAGGAATAAATAAATAAAAATACATATATTTCTGCATAGAATAAAATTAGTTTAAATAGTGCATATTATTTTTAAGATCAAGTTCAGATAGAGTTTCTTTAAAAATAAATTTCCAAAAGAAAATATATAAAATAATTTAAAATTAAAGATTAAAATAGAAAACACACTAAATATATATTTTTTAAAAATATCTTTCAGAAGCTTAACTTAAATTAATATAAATAAAAAATATTAAATAAATATTTAAGAAAACTGGTATTTTTTAAACTTTAATAATATATCTAAAGAATAAATGCAAAAAATATATAAAAATAAATAATAAATATAAAAAACAAATATATATTATACAAAATTAATAATTGTTATTAAAAAAGTAAAACTAACTAGAACTGAAAAAAATATTTTTTAAATTATCTGAGCTTTACCTTATAATAAATAAAAATATATATACAAAAATATAATAATTTTACTAAATGCTCTATCTAAAAATTTTTTTAAATACTAACTAAACCATTTCTTGGTGAGCTCTATGTTTGAAGCCAAGCGGAACTCTTAAAAAAAATTAGTTTTTAATTTAACTAAACACAATTTTAGTTGTTGTTTCCTCTCAAAAACTTTAGAGCACATAATGCCCATGGGCATGGCCATAATTCATTATAGTGGTCCACTGTTGTTTGCATTGTATTGTGAGTTGTATTGATAAGGACTTAGACATATTGCTGCTGGATGCTAAAACGAAATTCTATTTTAACATTTTGTTTAACGATAAGGCCGCACACATGTTGCTTGGAAACAGAAACGTTACGCTAGACAGCATTCCAAATTAATCTAATATATGTACATGTATGTATGTATGTGAAGATGTCGATCTTGATGCATACACACACTGTACTGGGCTCCACAGACTCTATGGGCGTACAGTGCTACAAAAGGGTTGTTCACTTCCAAGGAAGCGACATGGGCACTACATAATATTTATCATATACTATATAGCCTACATATATATTTATACAGTCAGCATATTACTTTGGGGTAATTTAATTGTCAAATAATGCCATAAGAATAAGATTGTAAAGATTGCTTATCGCTAACAAAGCGAAAGAATTAATAATTAAATAATTAAATAGGTAAAGATTCGACTAGTGAAACGAACTGATTGCCTGTCTTCTATAAAACAGTAAAGCCATTAAGATATTTTCATTTATCGATCGTTCACCTTACGAATCACATAAGCGGCTTGGCTGTTCTCAAAACGAGGTCAATGGGAAACAGTTAGTAAAAGGAAAATATTAGTTATCGATGGACTTATGCTATTATCTGCTATCGATTTTACGTCTAACGCCCGTCCCGCTCTATAAACAATGTTTTTTTTTATCGATATTTCGCCTAACAAAAAGACTCTAAGACTGTAAAATACTGCTATTAAAGCACTGACAATCTATCGGTTATCGATTACTCATCCAACCAACTGCTTTGAGGTCAGATTTTAGTTTTTAAAAAAATACAAATTTAAGAAATTTCGGGTTGAAAGCACAGTTGCAGCCGCAATAAACAAAGGCCAACTGAAGACGTTTCAGCATTCAATTAGCCAAGACCAGACTTGGTCTACAATTTCTTCCTCATTTTCTTTGCTTTTTTTGGTAACATGCAGAAATAAAAAATTAAGAAATACAGTAAAAATTATTACCTTGGCTTGATGAAAGCTTACAGCCAAAAAAAAGGCAATCGCCTTCACAAAAGAATGCTGACCAAAAAAAAAAAAAAGAAGTAGAAAAAGAAGGAAAAGAAAAAAGTTGAAGCACAGACGAAAACTGTGAAGTTTTTTCCATAAACCGTTGAGCGGGGCAGAATTGGTAAGACCAAAAGTCAAGTCGAGAAGAAAATTGCAGCATTAACAAACAAGTTCAAGTTAATAAGTCAGCAAGTTTATTTAAACACAGAGCTTACCATTATTTATATATAAATGCCTGTGTGTGTGAGTGTATATACTTAATATTTTGATACAACTTTCGCTGATATAAGCAAAAGATGGTAGCAAATTTTTGCTAGCTCTATGAGCGT